TGCCATATGTATCCAAGCTTTCGTCGCTCGTCTTGCAAATGTCAAACTTTTCTTCAGTCGAGGCCAACAGATCCGTGTTCTGCCAATCAGCCAATGTTTTGGTAGCTGCAATTCGCGTCGCAAGTATGCAAGCTGGATTCTGTTTTTCATCCAAATATCGTAATGTCCCTTGTACTGCTTGCCTGTGCGATCAGCGTACCAACCTGCCACACAAAAAAATGTATTGAGTTGTTCAGTAAATTGGTCACTTTTTTCATGCTATGAGATACAAATTATGTTGAGTTCGATATTCGAAAGCAAACTAACCGCAAATCTCGGAATCGCATTTAAAGCTCCAAAATGCCTCTTTAAATTCTGGTGCACACCGCCCTCAAGAGAGTTTGTTCCCTCAGGCATTGGTATACTGCCAAACCATTTTCATCCCGTCGTCGAAACAAGTACAATGATGTTCCAGGTGGATCGCTCAAATATCCTTTGCCAATAAGCTGTAGCAAATTTCGTGCATCTTTTCAGGCCTGTTTGTCAAATAATGGTCGACCACTTGAGGCGCATTTTAAAAGTCCAAACGTCATGAATAAATCGTACTATTTTGAAGGGTGGTGGGACAACGCGGCGAATTCGCTCGTTAATCAAGATTTGCGACGCCAACGAACTAAAGTAACATGGTTTTGATAAATCAAATTAAGCTTGTTGTCGCCCACAATAAAAGAGAATCATATAGATATATACCCATTTCAAATCTCTCTCCTTTTTCATGCAAACCCGGGTAACAGCTGCAACATCTCCAAAATCCATCCACAAAATTGCGTCAGTTAATTTACGCTAAATTCTATGTGTAACCCATGCTCCTTTGGTATTGAGATTCTCTTGAGCGCATGCCAAGCATTTTGGACGATTCTGGTGTGGTAGGCGTTATCTTGCTCCAAGCGTTGCGGTCGATACTTTTGTAAATTAAAATCGAGGAGGCGACTTTCATAAATCTTGGGGCTCTCGTCGATAGCTAAAGTGTTTGGCGCTGGTACCGGTATATCATCGTCACTGTCGTCTTCCGAGTCAGTTTCATATTTATTCCATGCTTGCACGTCATTGTCGCTGCTATGATCAGTTTGACCAGCTTGCAATTCCGGATGATCCACGCTCTGCGATATGTTTAGTGTTTCCTCATCGTGCACGGTGGCGACAGGCTCAATAAGTTGATAACAAGGACGAGGTGACAACAAACGCACTAATATACAAAACGGAGCAGCACCAAATGACGAAAGTGGCTGGCTATCACATAATGGCAACTTTGCCACAGGGACCAAGACATTAGTAACTTCAACCAGAGCACGATTTTCCGTTATCGTCCGCTTATTGAAGACTCTAGAAAAAAGTCAGGGTTAGCTTAATATTAGTAATATGATTTGACTTATTAAGTCATTCCTACTACGAAATGGAGCAAGCAAGGAATAAGTAAGGGAGCGAATATGCACATACCCGCTTTCTCTAGCATCGCTAATTTTCCCGCGCGCCACCTCCACAATATCATCGTCGCTAAGTACTGTTACAAGTACACCAGCTCGTCGACTTATGATGTCGTTTCTAGGCGATGTCGCTTGGAGATAAATTTGCCGACTACTCCAGGCATCCAAAGCTGCATAGTGTGCTTGCTCGTCAGTAAGTCGACCTTCCTAGTTGCCTTGTTGTCAACCCTTGGATAGACGATGTTGTAGAAATATCTGCCAGACTTGATCCAGTAATTGGTTTGCATTTGTACTCGTTGCATCTTGTCAACAGGTTCACGACTTGGATGCTTGAATCTTATTGGATTGTTGAGGAAAAGATCGTGAAAGCCGAGTGATATCATTTGCGTTGTTACGTCCAAACCTTGATGATATCTTTGCGATTAAGCAGCGTCCAGATAGCGTGTGGCAATGATATAACTTCTCCAGCTTTAATATTTATACTCAGTCGTCGTATACAAATTGTATTATTGATACTAAATGCCACGTTGGATCATTTTCATAATATGTCCACTCTGCGTCAAGACCAACGACGGTCGGTTGCTGTTCAGTGCCATATTGTTCGAGTAGCGGTGTCAAAGCAGCTTCGATTTGCAAAGGTGAGCTGTGGATTGTTACTGAAATTGTCGGTGGCAGCTGTAGCTGCGGCAGATGACATCATAATATGTTTCAGCGACTTATACGTGGATGAACGTCAGTACGAAGAAATTCGATTTGTGTTTCGAAAAACTGTTCATCGGCCTCCACTTTGTCAGTAAATAGGATTTTTGGATGACGATGACCATGGTCAGTAAGACTTTGTAGCATGGCTAATCGCAAAATTAGTTTCGGTTACTGTAATGCAATCAGCCGGAAATTATATGAAAAAAGTGTAGTATACCTTGTATTCCTTGTTCTATGTGATCCATGGATGTAGTAGGCACAAAAGCTTGATACCGGATCTCTCCGTATTCCTTTGTCATTGATACCAACCCTTCAAAAATTTTGCAAGAATCTAGTTTGCAAAGATGCTTTGTCACCTATTATACTACAGACAAAGCACTTGTCAGAATATATATACACAAAAAGCAAATAGATCAAACTCACCTTATGGCTGTGGTCAATGTTGATTATGGTGGCTGGTGGAGAGCTCATGTGGTTGTAGTGGTCGTTTATATGCATTTCAGCAAATGCACTGTACATTTTTGGGAGATACTTAGGACCAGGTGTCGAACCACCATATCCATCTCGATCATCGAATGATGGGAAATTCTTGAACTGCCTTGATGCCGAGTGCACTGGTTTATAGAACGAATTGATCGCCGATTGTCTAGTGGGTGATGGATTTTGCTGCTCGTAAGAATGTTCTTGTTGCTCTAATCTTCCTTCCGCATACTGCCATTCAACTTTGTCGTGTCGCAGGTGGTGTCTAGTGCTCAGTGCTTTTGCAAATGGACCGGGCCCCATTCTGTTACCAAAGCAGAGCCGCATATTTGTCATCAAATACTTGGATACACCACTTTTACGTGGAAGAGTGGCCGGCTATTCGAGCGCAAGTTGTATGGGTAGCGATTTTTCTGTCAAGTTCTCGTCCGTGCCCATAATTGAGTTGACGTCGCATCCGTCGTTTTTGCATTGATAGCGATAGGATAGGATGTAAATAAAGTCGTCGTCGTCTGCGATGCGTCTGGCAAGTGGGTTTGCATTTGGGACACTTGAGCTCTTCTACCAAAAGGTGGACGAGCCAAACGTACACACGTGGAAATATAAGTCGGTTGGTTCAAGGTAGTTCTCCTGGTACATAGCGAAAAAGGGGGCTGTGGCAAAACCTAAAAGATCTTGTTTCTGTAGCAGGTACTGCTCAAATACTTCAGGCGTTACCAACGTTTCTACATCGCGTCCCACCAACGGTGTCACTAAATCGTTAAACTGATGAGAAACAAATGAGCACAATTGAGAAAATGCCCCTCAATTAAGTGAGAGTAGAGTAGTGGAAACTTACTTCACTGTGTGTAGATATGTCAAACGTAAAAAATTACGTCGTAGGCCACGCAACGGTTAACCTGCCTTATAAGGAAGGCAATCGGTCCACGAAATTGAACTGTTTACTACAGTGAACCCCCGCTTTTTGCAACAGCGGGAATACCGTCAAAAAAGTTGCAAAATCTGAGGAACTGCAAAATGTGAATATGTTACACAAGTGGGATCGATAAGCTGGCAATCACATCTTTCCTTATTTGGTTTAAAAGCTCTTAAATAATAGAATACAATAGTGTATCTCTTTTGTCACTGGTTCGAGTCTCACTGTCTCTGAAGTTTGAGATTAATATACAATATATAAGGCTGAAGCGGGAAATTGCAGGTCCCGATTTCCAAGTTGCAATCTGCAAAAACCGAGGAATCTGCAATTTTACTAAGTGTTGAGCGGGAATCTGCTCAAAAAAGTTGCAATAAGTGGGGATCTGCAATAAACGGGGGTGCAAAAAGCGGGGGTTCACTGTACCACTATTTAATGTCTTGTTATCCGAGACGCGGCTATTCTATATGTGCTCGGCTTTAATATTTCTTTAAGAGCAATCGCATATACTATATGTGTATTATTGATTAAGACTGCATGGTGTGCCTGCACACACACACACACAAAGCATTTTTGTTGTTAACAGGGTTTTATGTATCATCAAAGGGCGTTTTTCTTATTAAAATATCACAATAAATTATGTAAAAAGGAACACTATCATTAAAAGTTACTAATGCATGCTACTGCAACAGTTGTCGCCGCACCTTTACCGCCATGCACATCTGATATTAAATACCGGAAGAGAAACCGTTTATTTAAAACGTAAGGGGAGTGTTGGAAGATGCTACAAAGTTGTATTGGATCGCTTTTTTGCCAGGTTTTGGCTTTATTTTCTACTATTTTGCAACGTAGTATAAAGCTCCAAAATTCTTCATTTCGTCCATAGACGGTAAGAATCAACTTTCTAAAGAAATAATATGCTGACATCGTCCTTTGTTGTATAGATAATGTAGACAAATTAGTACGTAACATTTCATAAACAAGGCCCCCCGCCCTAACTTATGCACTCTGTCGAAATAAATTTCATCCATCTACTGTTATCTTACGCGCATAGGCATATAATGCATAACTCTGTATTACATCGCAACGACGGCCAGTAGCAAGATTTACAAGACAGCAATACTGTTCTTCTTACTGGCGGAACTATGTGGTCGACGCAGTAAGAGACACAACGACGTATACTATACTATGGTGTACCCGCTGCGTAGTATATAATTGAATGAGACGTAAAGGAAGGTTATACACAATCTTGTCCCTGTTATTGTGAGTAACGACAAAAAAAAACAATACGAGCGGGGAGGACTTGTAGTAGTATGTGGAGCAAAAAAAAAGATTACTTTTCTGGTATGGTATGGTGGTGGAGGTGGGGGGAGAATGTTGTTATTGCAAACGATTAACAATGGGATATATAAAAATATAAATAATATGTGTGCTGTATTATACTACAAACCAACCATGCCAAAGACACATAATACCCCAATATAGGGAACAAGCACGGTTTTGGCGACAAAATAGAAAAGTATGCCAAATGCAATTGAAATGGGCAATGCTGGAAGGGCCTTTTTGTAAATGGCCAGTAAGAAAATGGTCGTCGTCAGACCTGTCAGCACTGCAATCGTACAACACACTGTAGTGATCCAGTCATACAAGGCTGCACGTGCAATAAGTACACTATAAAATACAAAATCGCCTAATCCGAGTTTCAGGCCGCTTCTTTCCACTATATAAAAAATAAGTGTTTATAACAAACATCAGGAGGGAATGGGGACATACATATTCCTTTTTTCTGTCAAACTTACCATCTTCTTCATCTCTTTCTTCAGAATCATTTTCAATTCCTTGGGTATCATTACTACTCCTCCGTCTTGGCTCGTCGTCATCTGGTTGACCTGTGCTGGTCCTCCGACTACTATCATCAGTATGCGTTGCTTTGTTCGCAGCTTCTTCTGTATTGGATTGTGCAGCGACTGTAGTACTTGATATACTTTCTGCACGCAGACGCATAAACCCATTCGGCTGCAGATTGGTCATGCTTGCAGGACCTGTTGATGAGGCGAGTGTGGAGGAAGAAGGTTGCTGCTGTTGTCGTTGTCTGCCTGGTGCAGCGGCATTGGGATGTAATGGTGCAGTGGATGAAGTGGATGCTTCGTATTCTGAAGAACTAGTAAGACTATGTATGGTATCGGTGATGGAGGATAAGGTAACAGTTCGTTTTCGTCCATTCGCTGCTAAATCATCAACTTGCTGTTTTTGTTGTTGTTGCTGTGCTGCTGCTGTTTTTTCGTTGAGCGAGGATGTATCGTTGTTGTTGTTGTTGTTGTCTTTATGGGAGGAAGAAGAAAAGGGTATAATGTTCTTTGATAATCGAACATGATCGGTTGCTGCTAGCATGAACCATACTGCGTTGACGGAATACAGCAAGGCTGGGACTTCACGCTGTTGCTTTCGTGAACTCTCGATTAGTAATCGTAGCGGACCAAATGGACACAAGACAGCAATTAGATCTGAAAAATACAATATAGCTCTTTTGTTAAAGAAAAAACAAAACCTTCATCAAATATACAATTCCCTTTCCCTTTATTACCCCACACTGCAAGTAAGCCCAGTAAGATCCAAGTCGTCCATTCTTCGAGTCCGGTCAATGAAAAGGCCTGTTTAATAGCAGATATTAGCGATTAAAAGTACTGGAAACTGAATGCATGTCGTTCTCTCCTCTCGAAATCCATATGTGTACTAACCATCAATGAGCTCATAACTGTGAGATAGCCTTGTTGAAGCCAAAGCGGACCTTTCCAAAATATAGACACTAAACCGACGACAGCAAAGTTCCATAAAGCAAACACCATTGTAATGTAATCCATTGGTATGGAGAAGACTTGTATCAAATTCCTATTATCGACATGTATATATCCGCGCATGTTAACAAATGCCAAATCTATACGTCAGTCGTCCTTCTCCAGAAAGAATACTTACAGTAATAATAAATAAGTCATGAAACCAAGGAGCATCAGGACGACAATCATAAAAAATCCGACAAGAACCTATATTTTTTTTTTCAAAAAATACTTAGATTGCAGGGCACCATCGTCATATGCAACTTTTCACAATGAAAAGTAAAAGGAAAATTTACCTTGATCCAGCCCTTACGAAACAAAAATACAATCACTACAGTGACGACAATGATTTGACCGATGATAATGAATGCATTCGTGAGCGATTGCGTGATGCCTGACCCGCCACCATCTCCACTACTGTCATCACCGTTGCTTGTCGACGTTGAATCATCGCTCGGAAGTATGACATAAGATGAACGTGTAGGACTACGAAAAAGAACAAACTCGTTAATGCCTACATACTTCCTATAAAGTCATCTTTATTTTACATTATACCTGTAGTCGCTACCGCCACTGTATGCCACCTTGACCCAGAATATGCTGAGAATAATGCATGCAACGACGGGCTTGATGATGAAATAGATCTGTTGCATATAGAACTTTAATTCGTCTGCAAATTCTTCATCGTCTTCTCGTAGTCGTCGTCGTTGATTGTTTTCGTCGATGTCTTGCGATGTGCCCAAATCAGCCATTGCAATATCCGTATTACCATCACCGTCTTGTTCTTGTGATCCTGTTTATTCGTATATATGCATGAGTTATTTTTACCCGGGGGATTTCGTTCGTTAATGATAGCTACCTGCTGTGTTACGACGCGAATTGACAGCGAGTGCAGCATTTAACCGAGATGTTCTTTGTTCTCCTTCAGCAGCATTAGCATTAGCCAAACCTGTAGCACGCCTTGAACGACGAGCTGCCAATGTCGCCTCGCAAACTTTATAATGGCTTTCCTTCCAATCGGTCTTTTGACATTCCATAGAACAATAACGGGGCCCATTCAAACCGCACGATGAACACATGAACGTAGCTGATTTTTGGCATAGGGTGCATATAACAGGTTCTTGTTGTAACGGCGACTGCCGCTGTTGTTGTTGTTGCTCGTTCAATGTTAATGGGTCTGCTTCTGCTGTATCAATGGTAGTACTAGCAGCTGTGGTTGTGGCCGCTACCGTAGCTTCATCGTCGACAATACTTTCATCACCATTTTGTAAAGTGAGCGAGCTTCTAGACATAACAGCTTTTTGCCCAACCCAGCTGCTTTTAGGTCTATCGCTTTATAGCTTTTTGTTAAAATATTCCCGAGGGACAAAGAGATTGTGGGCTTAAGGAAGGGAAGGGGTTGGTGTGAGTGAGAGACAATAAAGAGAGAAAGGGCAATTTATTCTATCTGTGGTCAGATGCACTTTTTTTTTGTTCCTCTGCTTACGTTGTGGTACCTGCGGCAATTGTTGGACGTGCCAATTCCACAGTGTTTCCTTAAATGAAACGTGCCAATCAAGTCCGGCTAATAAGGGGATGCGGCATGCAGCTTATATATAGCAATGGCACTACTTCTTACCACAAACGACAAGGAACGTAAGTAGCACATATAACTACGTAGTATATGATACCGAGATGTTTAACAGCTCAAAAAAGCCTATCAGTATATTTCATGAGAAATACAACACTTTTGGAATGCTTTTGATTATTTTTCATGCCAATAATAGCTGGCTAAATATACTTTTCTTTTCAAAGTATTACAACAGGAAAGATGATAAGGATGATAGGCGAGAGGTAAGTAGATGAGGAAGGAGACTGGAAAAAAAAGAAATACTACTACTAAGCTATTTATATATTTACAAATATGAGGTATGGTTTGCAATAAGTATTATACGAGCCTGCTCTAGGTCCAAACGTATGTATAAGTTATGTTTTGTGTGTGTGTGCGTGTGTGCGTTTCCACTTTAGAATGGAGGCACGATCTTGCGTTTGAAGTACTTGTAGATCTCGGCAAAGCACATGTAGACGAGACAGGATGCAGCGACCATACCCCATTCCCAAGTAATGTAATGTTGCTTGAACACACTTTCAGCCAAGACGGGGACGTAGACGGTGATGATCAACAAGGCGAGGGTAAAAGCCAAAGCATAGTAGAGATACCGGTTCTGCTTGCATGTGAAAGCGCGAGGGACCCAAGCCAAGTACCATCTACGTTCGCCTGCAAAGTAAGATGGGATCCACACAGGGTTGAGGAGGTCACGGCAAGTAAAGCTGTGCAACATGAGAACACAGCATGAAGTAACGAAGAGTGCACCACGACCACGGAATGTATAATGACACGTATCGTTGTAATACTTGTTACAGTCACTACCAAAGTCGCCACCGGCATAGGCATACATGGAGACGGAAAAGTTGCACAAGCCAATGATGGCAATTATAATGCCGTAAGCGAACATATCACACAAGTTGGAGGCACGGAACAAGCCGTGTTCACGTTTACGGGGAGGAACCTGCATCTGCAATGGGTTAACAGGTTCAAGACCAAGAGCAATGGCAGGTGGAGTACTATTTATATAGAATGAACCAACCAAGTCAGTATCATACTCAAATATACACATAATCGATTTGGTAGTGTTTTTTATACGAGTACTTACGTAGTCAAGCAGTTTGCGAACAAAATCTGAAGAGGCGCCATGGGGAAGACAGACTTGTTGTCAGCGCCTTGGAAACCGAGACCAGCAATCAACATGATAGAAAGACTAACGTTGCCAGTAATCAAATGGACACAGAAGCGGCAAATGTTGGCAAAGACACGACGACCTTCTTCAATGGCAGAGACAATGGTGGCAAAGTTGTCATCGACGAGAATGATATCCGAAGCTTGCTTGGCGACATCCGAGCCAGTTTCACCCATGGCGATACCAACATCGGATTCTTTCAAACTGGGCGAGTCGTTGACACCATCACCAGTCATACCAGAGATCTTCTTGCGACGATGTAATGCTTCAATCATCTTCACCTTGGTTTCAGGTGAACAACGGGCAATCACCAAGGGGAGCTCTTCCAAAGCGTCGACTTGTTCTTCGGTAAGCTTGTCGAACTTTTGAGCAGACATGACGAGTTCCTTCTCAACTGGTTTTTCAGTCAATCCATAGTCAGAGGGGATGATGGAAACTTCACGGGCGATGGCGGTGGCGGTGGCAATGTGATCACCAGTAAGCATGTGAACAAGAATACCTATTATAATGAACGGCGCATTTTAAGTCAGTTATAAGAAACAAAGTCGGTTATAAGAAACGTTGTAGCTATAAACTTACCAGCTTCGTGGCATCTTTCGACAGCAATCTTGGATTCGACACGGGGAGGATCATAGATACCGACCAAACCCAAAAAGATCATTTCTTCTTCAATCTGTTCGCGCTTGAACGTTTCATGGTTAACAGGACCTTCAGCCTTGATAACACGGGTCGTCAAGGTAAGCACACGAAGACCGCCACGGGCCAATGCTTCGACTTGAGGAAGAATCAGATCTTGCATTTCATCAACACTCATGTACTGAATTTCATCACCGTTCTTGATACCGGCACAGATAGGCAAGACACGTTCGGTAGCACCTTTACCATAAGCGACATAGGTGCCATCAGGACCCTGGGTCAATACGCTCATGCGCTTGATGCTAGAATCAAACGGATATTCGGCAACCAATTTCCAACCATCTTGCTGCAACGCGGGTTTACCCATTTGAAGCTTGTGGGCAAAGACTTGCATGGCAATTTCCGTAGGGTCACCCATAACCGAGATTTCGCCTTCTTCATCCTTCTTCACCTCACTCATGTTACAGAGGGCAGCGGTTTGAACAAACTGACGCATGTGGGGCGTCATGTTGGTATCCTTGTTGATCGATTCCTTCGTCTCTTCGTTAGTCACATCACCATGCACATCGAAACCAAGACCTTCGACTGAATAAAATCCTGTAGAGGGTTGCCATAACCGAGTAAGCACCATTTTGGATTGGGTCAAGGTACCAGTCTTGTCAGAACAGATGTTGGTGACAGAGCCAAGCAGTTCGAGCGAGACGAGACGACGGACGAGGGCGTTGGATTTGGCCATGGCGTTGACACCAAATGCCTGGGTCAAGGTCAAAACGGCAAGCAAGCCTTCGGGAACGGCGGCAATGGCAGTAGTGATGGCATAAAGAATTTCAGAGTCGCCGATTTCGAATTTCGTGGTGGCGAAAATGACAATGACGACAAGAACAGCGAAACCAAACAAGAACAATGCCAAGTGGTCGATGGAGCGTTGAAGGGGCGTGCGTGAGTTATCGTCACTATCCATAAGACGCTGTGCGATCTTGCCAATTTCGGTATCCATGGAAATAGCGGTAATCATAGCTAATTAGATCAGAAAAAGAAACATTTAAGTATGACGCAAATTATGGTAGACACAAAAAAGGTGAAAGTGAGTTATTACCTTTACCACGGCCTTTAGCCAAAGTGGTGCTGGAGTAACCCATGTTCACACGATCACCCAAAGGCACATCAGCGGTTTGAAGGGTGTCATTAACCTTGTTTACAGGGACGGATTCACCAGTCAATAGTGCTTCGTCAACATCCATATTGAATGATCTGTAATTTTCAATGTTATAATCAAAGTTTTAAAAATATCAATATATGGCGTAAAAGCCATGTATACACAGAAAACTTACTCAATAACACGACAGTCGGCACCAACGACATCACCGCTCTTGAGGACAATGACATCGCCAGGTAAAAGTTCGCGAGTGGGAATATGCTTTTCATGTCCGGATCGAATAACCAAACTGGTAGGCGAAGCCATCTTTCGTAGCGATTCCATAGTCTTTTCAGCATTGTATTCTTGCAAGAAACCAATTACGGCGTTCAAGAACATGATGAAGGTGATGACACCAGCTTCAATCCAATCGTGATAGACGAACGATACAATCTACGTTTTCAAGTCACAGCAATAATTTGTTTAACATACATGAACTATAGAAAATTCGAAAGAAGCAAAAAAATATAAACTTACAGCCGCGATAAGCAGAATCATCACCAATAAATTGATGAACTGCTTGATGAAAAGCTTGACAGGGTTGATACCACCGCTGCCTTGCAATTCGTTGAAGCCGTTTTCCTTGCGACGAGTTTCGATTTCGTTATCATGAATACCCATTTCAAAATCTGATTTGAGAAGTCGAGATACTGTTTCGAGGTCCATTGTGTGATAGGGTGGACCTTCGACTCGTTCAATCTTCTGACGACGCTTCATGAGACCCACTTTACGCATGAGCATACTACGGACTGATTTGCCGTCGGTTGCAGTACTTTGCATGGTCGAAGATCGTGTCAATGGCTTTTGAACACCATCTGCCTGCTTCTTTCCTTCTTGCACAGCATGATCAGCAAAAGTGATGGTAGCTGATTGTTGCTGTTGCTGTTGTTGTTGTTGTTGTTGCTGCTGCTGGCCGGCGTTCTGCTGGTCAACGATTTCAGTCATATGATGATATGTAATTAAGTATGATACAAGAAAGAGAAGGAGAGAAAACCTTGTCAACTCAAAGAATCGATACACAGATTATATATGTTTTTCTTTAGCGTGGCACTTTTTACAATATAATTCGCTGAGTCTTCAATAGAATTTTCGGAAGCGTATTGTGTCTAACAACTAAACCCAGCTTGTTGCGTTGGCCTATGGAATAAAAGGCGCATGTCGTTGGGCCGCACGAGTGGGTAAATCCTCCACTGTTACTGGCGGAGAGCATTTTCTCTGCTCTGTTCGACTTGATGGGGTTTCTTTTTTCTGACTACCGATAATAGTATCGTCTGTGTCACCTAATGCCGTTCAGATCCGTCCCACAGATTTCCTTTGCTCGGATACGGTAATTCTGATCGCCTGGTACACGGTGCACTCTCTCGCTGGATAGAGCTCTGTTCTGTTATACACATATAATGCACCATCAATTGATCATTCTTGCTTCTCTGAACCAATGAACAATGCTATATCAATTTGAGCGAGAATATGGTGGATATGGACGTGAGAAACAATAAGCCTCTCACACAATACCCGCGCTGATGTGTTGTAAAAATACGTTTTTGATTGCCCGTGCGCGTCACTCTTACCGATGAGCCGTTGTGTAACTCAGACATACCCTAAGGCAGACCGCTGAAGGCTCACATGGATATAGTCATGCGCGAATTATGCCATTTGATATCTACTGACGGATAAATCAAAAACCAATCTCCGCCACGTCGCAGATTGTGCTACTATATCAACCGCACACACGCTTAAGCTTTCCTGGAAATCATAACAGGTTAGATCGAAATGAAACCAAGCACAACAATTCTTCTTTCTGTACAGGTCATAAGAAACCATGAGAGAGAAGAGAGAAAGAATACAGAAAAACCCCGGGTTTCGTACAATTACATATGTTTCTTTTCACTTTTTTTCCCCTTGCAAATGCCTGATTATCACACTCGGAGTTTTGCATCTCTGTTAAAGCAAGCAGTTTGAGTTTGCCATTGTGTTCGATTCATCTTCCCAAAAAAAAGGGGGGTGGCTTAAGATAACGACCCGGTGCAACGGACAGTAGGCATGATATCACAGATAGCCGTTCGATTTCGTTACCGTTCTACAAAAGGCGTTATTACGAGTGTATTCTTTTATCGGTGCTGCTGTGATTTAACAGCAATGTTGGGGGAATAAGTTCGAGTTTCGCATTTTCGTTTCGTTATTGACAAATGTACGTATCCCCGGATTTTCTTGGTCGGTCGCCATGTGTGAGAAAAATAAAGCGCCTCGTTTAATAGCGCGTGGTATCGGTTTACTTTAGTTGGTAAACGCCTGGGCCTAGAGCTTCATGCACCATGTGACTATTGCCTATTTTCCTATCCTCAAGAACTGGTTTGCCAATTTTTCTCGGCTAAACCTTTATTGGCTCGTTCAACCCGAGTACCAGGCGTAATCAAGTGTATGCCTCAACTTACTATGTCATATCTATGATCTATATCGACCTTTTGCGTTTGTTGCTCCTTATATATTCTCGTTTACACTAATAATTACACCGAAACGATATAAAAATACTACTAATGTAGTATCATTGTGTTCCTGCATTTGCTGATATATCAGTAAAGTGTCACTAACCACCACCGCGCCAGATCATGCAGCAGTATAAAGTGTAGTGACAAATCATTACATTCTACTAACCAATTTTGAATAGTTAGTTATTAACTTACACTTTCGGAGAAGCTGTTACTATAACGTGGGTATTCTTCTTTCTATTACCTGTATATCTTATGATACATTGAAATTTGTCCATGCCAAGCAACAACTAAGGATATTGAGCTGGACAGCAACCTGTTCAACGTTAACCATTCGAGCGCAAAAAAAAAGAAGGAACCACCAATATAAAGGCTCGAAAAAGCTTGAACTTCCAGTAGTATATACAAAGAGTTTATGCATAAAAAAGGATATACTTTTCATTACCCAAATAGGCGTTAGTGTACAGCTTTTAATCCCATGGAATAACGCTTGTGCTCGTCTACTTAAACTCACACAAATGCGTATATGTAAATTTGGCGAATTTGAAAACAAAAAGTATTTGTAACCAAGATCATGCGTTTGATCTAGGAAACTTAATCTGTATCTGGGGCGGATTTGAGTAACAAGGAAACCGGTGGTCCAATGTACGACGCGGTACGATCAAATCCTCAGAGTATGAACGATATCGTAATTGGTACAACTTATACTTTCAACTGTTCCCTTTTTGTCGTCTCTTTTCGTTACAGACAGGGATTGTGCTTTTAATATCTCATTTCTCTCCAGGTCACGGCGAGCGAATAATGGTCGGAGTAATCAAATGATATTTATTCGAGTCTGTGAACATCTCAAACTTGCTTGGTCTATTTGCTCTGTGATGTGGGAATGATGGGTGTGTTGCATGACCCTTGTGAGAGGCTGTCTCTTTTCTTTTTTCATATGTGACTTAGTACATAGGCCAGAACAACCCTCATGTTTCGTCGAATCATACTTTCGCTATCAAAGCAATGTATTCTTAGTTTGCTGCTATGAAGGAAACGAACAATAATATGGGTTTGCATAAAAACCCCATTATAGATTTCGTATTTCAAGCAGGATGTATGGTTGCGATTTCAAATATTAGATTAAAGGGCATCAAGTATCTTCTTGAAGCTCTCATGTGGTGACATCCTCAAAAACTTTAAAATCAAAGGGAAACACGCTCGTTCGATATAAAGCTCGAATTATTCACCAGCTATTTTATTAAAAACACAGTACATATTGGATGGATAGAGTACGTTTGTATCGTGCTATGATTGGTAGCATGTATATAGAAAGGTCAAGTAATGACCTCGCGATTTACTTATTCTAGTGTTCTCTGGACCACACACGTAAAGCACCAAGCAGGTTGTGAGGTATATGAAGCAATACAGGCGTTAGTAAAAAGCAAACCACGTTACAGTAATAAGTAATGCTGGAGTGTACGTAGTATGACGACCTAATGGATCGTATATAAGAACAAGCGAAACCATCCGTTATTTCCGGCCATCCAGGATAGTTGACGCTATACTCTATTGTGGTTGCTTTTCCAAGAGACCGTCGTCGCCTCGTCAGATGGAGCATGCATCGATTTCCATCCTAGCCACTTGAGGGTTGTCGCTGCGAAGCACCACGTGCGAAACAGGTACACTACGCCAGCTTCTCATCCCTCACACCACTGCTCCAGTAGTTGTACACGGCTTTTTGCACTACATCAAATAAGTACGACAACGAGCCACACACCTTCGACCATATCATGAATTATCTACCACGTTCGGATATAGAATTGTTTCGCGGCAAATGGTCAACAACCTGGCCAGCATTACTTCGCGTGCTGCATGAAATCGGCAAGTTGAGCAACTCGGGACACTGATTACGACACGAATGGACCAGTGCCCAAAGAAGGGTTAGACATGGGCGATGTGGCATCATCAACAATATCTTGATATCTCCCCACTATACTCATGGCACCTATAGACACCTCTTCTTTTCGCCCTCCACCCACATCTTCCTTTCCTATTTTTACTACGTAACCTCTCCTCCCCCAGCATGTTAATCGAGCTTGACTATTTCTCTCTCTGAGAAGGCTTCATTTTTCAGTTGAAGCACCACCTCTCTTCTTACCTGCCTACTTTCTTAATCACCGCACCGCAAGGAAGCGCTACAAGCGTACCATTTAGCCTTCCATTTGATATAAATTTTAAAAAATATGATCGGCGTCGCCCATGACGGCACCTTTCCCTTCACTTTAAACATGGCTACATATACAATTTTTGAGTGGTTGTTGGTCGGTGGCGGGGGAAGCTTAGAAAATAGTTTTCATATTCAAATGTGATGATTATGGCTACTCTATTTCACACAACAATATAGAATCAATTTTTTTATACTAAATAGAATTTGGTGAGCTCATCGTATGTCATTAGAGAACATGAAGATGTCGGGTTGGCTTATGCAACGGCGTCGCAAATATTTGTTGTGATTCCACGGTCTGCCTTGTAGCTCTCCGGGAAACAAAAGCAACAGCCAACAGGTGAATTATGGCGAGAAAATATCTAATTGAAGAGTGATAAGGATAGTGAGATATAAGAGGATGTAACTCATACTCGCTAGTAAACGGATTCCGTGGCAGGTCTCCTACTACCCTCGCCATCCTCGCATCAAAAGAGGGCACAACAAGAAGAGATAACATAACATCTGGTATAGTAACCGACCAGAATGAGCTTTGGTTTCGTCAAACACCGAAATATAACATCATATTGTAATCTGCTCTACATAATAAAATCGTTATTCTTCATTCTGACAGCAGTTTACCAAACTACCCTAAAGAAGTGTCTTGATATATCAGCGTATATTTTGTAGACATCATCAAGAGCTTGAGTGACATCGATCATGCCACACTACAGAAACAGGGCAACCAATCATTTCTTTTTATTAAAAAAAAGAGTCTCCGCTGAATATAAAAAAAAAATAAACCTGTCTTTTTCAGAAATACTTCATTATCTTTAGCCATGTGGAAACCAACGGGTAAATTAAAAAGAGGATTACGAAACAACCAATGATTAAGGAATATAGAAAAAAAGACGTTAAAGCTCTTAATCTTGATTTTTTACGTTTTGCAATAGGTACCAACGTTGTTCCTTTGGGCGTCAAGCGACGTTTCGGTGAAGGTTCTCCTGAACCCGCGTCCCCTTCTTCAGCAACAGGAAGCGGTACATACCAAAGCGCAGGCAACAGAACACCACCAGCAGGTAAAAATTAAATGATTCATGAATTTTTTTCTGTTTTTCTCCATTAGTTTTGTGCATGTGTGTGTGTGTGTGTGCTTGATGATTTTGCCATCACCTTTTCATGGTTCGGCAAAATGAAATCCATCATTAGATCTATACAGCGTTTCCCCACCACCTTCCCCTTCCCTAACATTTTCTTGAAAATCTCATGACGTGGGCCAAGAAAAAAGTACGAGGGAAATCCGTTACAGCCAATGTTTCCCTCTACTGCACAAAATCGAAAAATATAGGAGTTCAGTGATGGAATTAACAAAATGAAAAAGAAAGAAAAAGCCTAACCAATGTAACCCAAAAATTAGCAGTAGAAGCGTTTAGATCAAACGGAAATCAAGGTAGTGGTGGTAGTGGTGCCGGTGCAGATGCTTCTTCTGAAGGACGACGAAAGCGAAGGAGCCGCTGGGGAGACAGTGATAAAAAAATTAACGTACCTGGTCTGCCTACGACGTTGCCAAAGCTTAGTCAGGAACAAACGGATAATTATGTTTGTAAGTGTATTCCAGAAAATCTCTCTTTCTCTAATAACTATATATGTATGTTAGATTCTTTCTTATTAACTGACGAATATGATAATAATAATTAATTATAGTACAAATTCGTTTGGAAGAAATTAATCGCAAGCTGCGAATGGGAGATTATGTTCCTGCTGAACGCCTAAGGTAAGATTATACAATAAAGATGAAACAAACAATGTGTGTGTTTGATGATAGAGTGGTTTTATTTATTTACGGAGAGGGAAATGGAGAGCTAGACGCAATGTGTTTTTGATAAGTAAGCAATGCTAAATCAAACAAAATAATATATCTTTTCTTGCAGATCGCCATCGCCTGAGCCTATTTACAACGCAGAAGGCAAGCGTGTGAATACACGAGAAGCTCGCTATCGCAAAAAGCTCGAAGACGAGCGCCACAAGTTGGTCGAAACCGCCATCAAGACGATTCCCAACTACAGACCGCCTGCCGACTACAAACGACCCTCGCGCCTTCATGAAAAAGTGTATATTCCTGCAAAAGAGTTTCCCGAGATCAATTTCATTGGCCAGTTGATCGGCCCCCGTGGCAATACATTGAAAAACATGGAGCAGCAATCCGGTGCAAAGATCAGTATCCGTGGTCGAGGTTCAGTCAAAGAGGGCAAGGCACGCACTGATGCTGCTAGCAACTCGGCACAAGAAGAGGATTTGCATTGTCTTGTTATGGCGGATACAGAGGACAAGGTCAAGAAGGCAGTCAAGTTAATTGAGAAGATCATTGAAACGGTAAGCATTGGGACCTATCAAGAGAGGGGAGAGAGAGAAAGAGAAATTTAGGGAAGATTTAAAAGAAAAGCAATTTGATGTGGTTTATGTTTGGTTAACTAATAAAAAATGAAATATAGTCTGCTACGCTTCCAGAAGGTCAGAACGAGCTGAAGCGAAACCAGCTGCGTGAATTGGCTGCTCTTAACGGTACTTTGCGAGACGACGAAAATCAAACGTGTATCAACTGTGGTGGTATCGGGCATCGACGTTACGAATGTCCTGAACGACAAAATTACACCGTCAGTCTTACGTGTCGTATTTGTGGTGGTCGTGGTCACACAGCACGCGACTGTCTCCACCGTAACGATCCCGAATTTATGGCTCAAGCCAAAGAACGCGATCAGCATCTCGATAGCGAATATATGAACTTGATGGCTGAACTTGGCGAGAAGGTTCCTGAAGAAGGTGGCAGCGGCGGCGCTGGTCACCCTGCCGGCGGTGGCTATGATGGTGGCCATAGACGATCGGTAAGTAACATGTTGGAAATATTGACTTTGTGAGAAAGATTGGCTGTATCTCAGGGATCACTTGACTGACAATCTCTTTGGATATATGTAGTACGGTGACAGAGCACCTTGGCAGCGACCACCTGCTCCTACTGGAGCTGCACCTCCATGGCAACGGGATCACAGTTCTGGCCCTCCCCACTCGTCTGGGGGCGGAGGAGGAAGCGGAGGCCCTGCTCCTTGGCAGCAAAGAAACAACTACGGTCCACCACAAGGTGGCTCATCCTATGGCCCACCACCTACATCTTCTGGCTACTATCAGGCTTATGGCGGCAATCAAGGTGGTTACGGCGGCGGCTATGGCGGCAGCGGTTATCAGCCATACGATCCATCGCAAGCCGCACCTCCCCCACCCTCTAATGCACCGCCACCATGGGCAGTAAGTGTTCTGTTCTTTACCCAAATCACTCTATGCATAAAATAGCTCCCTTATTGATGACTCTTCTTTAGCAACAGCAAGCTCCACCTCCACCACCGCCACCATCTGGAGACGGAGGATATGTAAGTTCAAAACCTAATCTCCGTTGTTTCACTGTTACTGTGAGAGAACCGGATACTGACTGATACATGATAATGATAGGATGCTCCACCACCTCCACCTCCACCTTCCGAGCCCGCACCTCCCCCACCTCCATCATCGGCACCGCCACCACCACCCCCGCCTGAGGAGTAAATAACAAAGTTTGACTGGGCTTTCTCTCACTAACTAACCCACTCACAGACAGAATAACAAAAAAGATCTCTTCATCGTTTTTCATTATATATACTGTATTAAAATACGAAACACAGTTTTTTAGGTCTATTGTGAATTAACTGCGAAATGTCATATTCTTTTTTTTGACTTTTCTTACGCCAGTAATAAAAAAATTAATGATGCGCCCGCGTGAAGTTTGTTTTGATATATAGGACCCCCTCCCCCCCCCACTGTCAATACTAGCTCTATCAACAGAGTCCCTTGCTTATATTTTGTGCCAAGTGTGTATGTGAACCAAGACCGCCCTTTCTCCGCTTGTCACTAGTATGTGTGCCATGGATGATGCCATGCAAGTGGGATGGCACCATTTATTTGTACCCGGTACTCCTGAAAGTCACTCTATTGTAGCAATGACAAAGAAGATAGGGTGCTCGAGGAAGTCTGCTGATCAGCGCGCGCCGTATGCAGTTAAATTAGCTTTTTGCAACATAAGCGTTCCTTTCCGAGACCCGATCATAATGTTCCAGGCACACTCACACACGCATATCGCCAAGTCACCAATGTGTAAACGTGTGTGTGTCCCTTGAACGTGAAAAAACAGGGTTCAATAGCTATGATTGACATACAAGATCTACCTAGTGATACAGTTTATGAGAAAGCTTTTTTCTCTTTACATCGGATCTCATCGTTTATAGTGCGTACATAATGAACAGCGCGCTGCTTTAATGCGTTATCATCATCATCATCATCAACATCATCATCAGAGAGGCAACAGGCGGGTACTGTAAAGCGAGAGAAAGTAAAGAGCCATTCAGTATTGTCGTCATCGCCCTTCCGGGAGGGGTAAATGGCCGTGTGACCTCCACAGGGGGTGTGATCACAGGACCCTCTCTCCTCTCTCTTTCTCTTCAGACATCAGAAGTTGAGGTAAATCCCGCCCTCTCCCTTTCGCTCTTTTCCTTCCAATTTATCAAAAATAATCACCCACTATCATATTTATTTAGCACAAAATAAAAAGAAATCGGCAAAACGAGTATAACATAGCCTCTCTTATTCGACGTACACACCATTTGGCAAAGGCAGAGCAGTAACAAAACGCAGCAGCAAACATATTTGATCTCCCAAAAAGAAAGAAAGAAAGAAAGCAAGAACATGCTTATCTTGTCTTGTCGGACAACAACAAGAACGTCAACAACACAAGATTTGTATGCATATATGCCAGCCAAAACAACAACAACAACAACAAGCACCAATACAAACCCAACTCATTACTTTTGTTTATACTACTACTAGTGCGGAAAAGAAGAAAGTACAAAAACAGCAAAAACAACAGGAGCAGCAGTAGCCAAGAAGTGCAGCAACAGTAGCCGAAGAAGAAGAAGAAGCAGAAGAAACAAACCATAACTTAATTATTACATGCCACAACAACAACAACATATCGTCAGCACCAGCAAACCAAAGCGCATACTTAACTATTTTCTGTCTCTAATCGGACTCGACCGATTTCTTATCGACAATGACGGTTATCCTCCTTATGATGAGCAACTACGACCAGCATCGAAAGAACAGCCATCTTCTTGCAGTTTCTTGACCGCCTCAACCTTATTTGTCAGTCATCACTCCCTGACTGATGGTGACGACGATCTCAAGAAGCAGCATCATGCACCACCACCGCCACCCGACATTTGGACACTGCAATCCTGGATAAGTGGCCTTTCCAAAACAGTCCTGTGTCAAATCGTATGGATGGCAATGATGCAGTATCATGACAGCACGCTGTGGCCCGAGCTTGAAGACGAAGAAGAAGAAGAAAGAGGAGAAGGAATAAAGCAACAAGAAGATGGTTTACTTCAAGAGCTCAAGACGATCCAGGAGCAAGCCAATCAACTCGCCCATCGACTTGATGCTATGCGACCCAGCGAACAGTTTGTCCATGCAGCTCAGGTTGCACAAGAGTTTCAGCAACTCATCCGACTGTGCGTTCATCTGTTGCATAAGAACCCACTTGCTGCCACATTGGGCATCATGTTGATCGTTCAACAGAGCTTTGGTGCGCCGCCCGAGGTACGACAGCATGTCTATTACCAGGCCAAGCTCGGTCGATTGGTGGTGCTGGAACTGGAAAGCATTTTAAAGTACCATCAAGAGGAAGGACAACAACGACAACGACAACGGATGCAGCTACGAGAAGAAGAAGAAGAGGTAGACCGAAAGAGTGGTCGTACGACAACAAGTCATCATGCCGATTATTTGGTGTCATGTGTCCTCAAGGATTTGGATGCAAGTACTATGAGTAACAGTGCTAACGATGACTGGTTGGAACAATTGGAGCAACTTTGTACTAAATTGTCACGCTACGACACCACTTGGGAGTTTCGACAGGAATACCAAAACGTTGTGCGGTTGGCAGAGCAGTTTTATGCTGCTTGATCATCTCTTTTACTATGTTTCTTTTCTTTTTCCCCATTTTGTGCCTATGTACTGCAGTCTTTAATTTCTACAACCCCTACCCTTTCTTCGTTGTCGAAATGAAGTTTGGTATTATATTGTTCAGCCTTGATATTCACAACATGGACTATGTTGTCTATTTTCAAAGAATTATTTGTGTGCATGTGTGTGCATTGGTTGAAAGGTAAAAGGAATACAAAGTTACGTACAGACGCCGGAGAATAGTAGACATATGCAGTAAAGCTCATCTCTAGTTAGTAAGCGTATACCTTTATCTACGAGAATTACAATGATAGAGGAGAAGGATGCATGCTTATTTACCACCTAAATTAAACAGACCGCATAAAAGATATAGAATGCCAGTATCAAGCTAACAAACTCTCTCTTCGAAAAGGCACTCTCAAAATGTAATAGAATCTTGATTACTAACAGTGACACGCTGCCACCGCTGGCCTATAGAGCCATCGCAATAAAGAGTGTTAAGCACAGAAACCGCCACAAGGCTCTTTTGACTCTGCATAAAAGTATGTGATAATCTAGCCACACCCATACCCGTATGCGACAAGCAGCGAAATCGCTACTGTAGTGCGGTCTCTAAGCTAGTGTTGGCTTCGTACGAAATATCTCTGATAAATACTGAAGGCCGCGTCGTCGAATCGATCGCCCGCGTGCAAACCGATGATGGTCGTAAATCCAAAACACAGCGAACGAGTTATTCCGAGGTAAATGAGTGCGGCGGATTTAGCAACAAGTGTCGATTTCGTAAACTGTCGTCTCCTATCGTATTTCACCAAAAACAAGTTCATCACTGTTGACCATAAAAACATGCTTCATGTTGATCCTCTGTTATATGCGTTATTATCACCGTTATACTTAATATCAAACATCTGCTGGTTTGCTGGCAACAAGGCATTACTTGATTTCTTGTTAGCATCTATCCGTGATTAACGTTCCTAGTTGAACTTTTTTGGAGTTTTGTCTTACTCTGTACTTACAAGTTATTTAGCCGCAAGTCCATCAAATCACTCGTTCAGGTCCTAATGGAAGTGTTGTCCTGGCCTAAAGAGAAGATTTCGACCTTTATAGTTATGAAAATAGTATTTAAATGAATAGTATTGCACTGAGCCTATTGATATTATGTAGGATGAAATACTGTATATACAGTATCAACGCCGTCAAAAGTTGGAAGGGTAACTGAATATAAACATGGCGCAAAAATGTAAGAACACGAAAAGCACATCAGGAATGGATGATGTATAGGATGCAGAAATCTTTCTCCACTACTTGTACATCGATGTACAAGCAAACGTCTGGACCATGCAGCTAATCAGAAATTGTAGACCCAAAAACAACGTATATGGAAAATGGTGACTCTAAGGTGACTTGGGCTCATTTTAGCAGGAAAATCCAAGCAAGGAAGGATTGGCTTGCAATATTTGTAATTGTATCGAAAGCTTTTACACGAAAGAATTTTTAACTTCTTTTTCTAGCAACAGCTCACGTTCATCACACAGGGCCGCAAACCATAAAGCAACCGGGGCAGGGTGTTAGAAGAGTTATTAATTGAAATTACTTTCTTGGTATTCCTGCCTACTAATAGTTCATTACGTGCAAGAAGCAGAAGAAGGCCGGATAGTCTAGGGTTAGCAAATATTGATTTTATTCCATTGTACAAAATACTTTCTTTTCTCCAAAAGTCCAAAGACGAGCGCTTAGAGTTATAGGAAAAAAGGTAATTATTTTATTCTGCTGCCGTAAAGAATCTGGCCGTTGCTTCTTAGAGTGCGAGTAAATCTTAATAACAAAGCATCTCGAGCCTTTTGATCTGGAGCAAGGTCTTGAATGTATGGCAGTATCTGTTCCGGTGTCCACTGCTTTTTCTCTGCAAATAAACTAGCAAACCGTTGTGTTGGGTCGACGGATAATTCAGATAATGGGAAATACGAAATATAAGTTTGTGTTCGTTGTTGATGAAAAACAGCCGTGGTAGCTGCTCGTTCTGTCACCACATATAATCCTTGAAGCATCTCCATTGTTGGCGAGAACACATCCGGGACCAATTTGCGCCACACTTGAGTGAAATCATCCAACGCCCATTCTTTACCCCGTGCACTGGCCAGGATCACTTCACCCATAAATCGACATACTTTTTCTTGATCCATTTTATAAGTGTTGTCTAGTTGTTTGTCGCAAAATGCTTCCAAACACGCCATTGCTACTTCTTCGGGAACAACATCATCTTCTCCATTCTCGTCATGGTATTGTCGGATGCAATCTATGGCTGTTTCTACAGGCATTGCATCCAGATTCAGTTCCACAATGGTGGCGTTTGTGACAAGTGCGTCTAGTAGGCCGTGCATAAATGATCGTTCGAGTATTCGGTATTTGCCTGAATTATTTTTCTTCCTTGGATCAATACAAATCTTAACAGGGATATTCCCTTTGGTTGAATTACCATTTAGACAAAAAGCGTTCCGCTCAACTAATCCTCGCAGTAGTTCTGCTTCGCTTGCTTGAACCATAGATAGTAGATCATTATAGCTATACAGTTTCTGAGAAAATACAATTATTTGTTAGCATCTCATGGAGCCTCCACGGACCCGCAAAAGATTACACCCCTATCTATATAGAATTACCTTCTTTGTATTTATTTGTTCAGAAGCTTGTCCTGAATACCGCGTTGGTTGCAACAATTCGTCGAGTCGTGTTAATCGTGCCAAACAAGGAACAACTTCAACTGTATGAGAAAGATCGTCAATAACGTGCAGATCTGGATCGTTTGGCATTTCTTGACGTGCCAGTAATAATGAGTTCGATGTGTTGACTTGTCGTAAACCAAATGTTTGGTCGTGTGTACATAATACTGCTTCGTCTTCCGGTAGGCCTTTAATCACCAATCTTTTACAAATGGTATTAAAGATTAAAAATAGAAGCGTTCATTAGATACGGGGTTCGAGAACATAAACTACATAAAAGAGACTTGGTGTTATTTTTTACTTACTCACCACTCGATTCGATCGCTTCTGCAATTTGTTCGTTACTCAGCTCAATCAAACTGTATGCGCCTTTGTGAAATGCGTTCGAGTAGATAAGTTCGGGCATAGTAATTGCAGGAAAAAGTGAGAATTGGTCGTAACACGAAAAAAAAAACCAGTTATACGCGATTCGGAGTTCAGCATATTACACGCGACGACACCAGTTGGCTGTTTGTCGCGAATTCAGTGCGCCTATGTATCGTCAAGGAAGTAGATATGAAAACAAAAAGCTATACGATCATCACTCGAACAGAAACACAAAGGGCTACATTATATTATGTTACATTTGAATGTGAAATAACCGATTTTTTGAGAAGGCTAATATTTGACAAAAGGAAGTATACAAAACACATACTACGACCTCAGTTCTATATGATATCTGCGGTAGTGCATCGAACCCGCTCCTCATGGAAACACATATCTAGGTGTCTTTTAGACAAGCACACTTTTTGCATTTTGGACGATGATTGACGTCGAAATTGTTCCAGGATATTTCAAACACCCGTAATTAGATGGATGCTTTATTTATTAAGGCTTGCTGGAAAGAATAATAAAGCAGATTATCGTTTTAAAGCATGACCGGGCCTACCAGCCGTACACCTCACACATAATCACCACGATTGCTACGTAATTTATGAGCCAGTAGGTTGAAATTTGCTAACCTAAAGCAATGGTGTGCTGGAGATGAGAGAGAAGAAGAAGGAAATATACAAAGTAAAAAAAAGGGGAGAGGAGAGCGATGGCTATCGATTTATTATGATTGGCAGTGATTTTGCAAATGAATATGTAAGAGAAAAAAACCAGGCTCGATACAAAGCACTCTACCCTACCAAAATTTATACCTTGTCTAGGATATATACGTAGATTTAAGGTCAAGAAAGATGATTAACTGACACGACGCTTGGTGTTACAGCAGCCTACATTTTCCTTGATTGCAATAGTGGGATCGATCACTGTATCATATCATATCTTGTAATTGATCGCGAGAGAGAGGATGGTACTCAAGAGTCATCTGGGTATGCGTTGGGTTTCATCCCGTATATTTTTGTTTCAGGTTGTGGATGATAATATCATACGTATAAAGTAGTATTAATAATAGCAAGTTCCGTGTAAATTATAACCTGCTTGGAAGTAAGGGTTATGAATCAATGTCTAAATGGGCAATTGTGAATACATACATTGAACTTGAGATGTATCGATATCTCTTACACGATCAATACAGAATGAAAGGCTGAAGATCAGAGGCTTTTACAACAGCGTAGATGTGCCATTATTCTGTGAACAGCTTGGTTTGTCACTAGTAGCTGATAAACCGCTTTTCTTCTGTCGTGTCCATTCCGCAATATATGAGCTCCAAACAGATAGTATAAAGACGACTTATTAATAACAGTAGCTTAATATTGAGTTCACGGAGCAGAGTTTTAAGTGTTGCGATCATATCTTGGCATATATATCCATATTGATATTTTTATATGTAATCCCAAGTGTGGGAGACTTTTCTAGCAGAGTATCAACAAGATACCTTGATTTCTTTTTTCACCAGACGGTTCACTTAAAAGCGGTCCTTGTTCTTGGACACCGTCTGCATGATTCTTGAGTTTTCTACGACGGTTTTGTAAATGAATAGCAATCGAGGGTGCTGCAGAGGCATTTTCATCACTTTGTCTCAGGCCATAATTCGCAGTACTAGTTCTTGTAGACATCTGGTTTCTTTTTTGACTAACGCGGATGGCTAATGCTGTGGGCTGAGGAGACTCGTCGTTATTTAATCCTACTTCTTCTTCATTGGACACATTTGAATCTATTTGTTTCTGTTGATAGGGAACAGTCCCCTTCAATCAACTTTGAAAAAAAATGGTGATCGTAATACTTGGGTCGATTTCTGCTTCACGACCACTTCCTGTACAAGTCCGGGATGTCAAGAAGTTTCGCAGTAGGGGGAATATAGCCTGCACACGCGTTCTGGGCTTAGGATTGCCAAGATTATAGAATGTTTATACGACGGATCGCTCCTTCTTTAACCAACAGAAAAAGCTTTTTTTAGTTACTGTATTCCACATGTGCAACAGCTCCTCTATGTATAACTTTCTGCCTGTTTAATTGAGTGCATGGTTCTTTACACATTAGTATAGTCGAAATGATCGTAATTTTTTGTATATGGTCATAAGCCAAATAGCTAATATCGGATGTACATCTAACTCTTCATTAACCAGATTTTATGCATAATATAACAGGTATTTAGATTACCGACACCTCGAATCTTTTCTTTTCCTGCTTTCCATTTCTTCTCAAAATCCATATCTTGCTTACTCAAACATGAGACTTTTGAAATGGTGCTGTTTATAAGGAATTTTTGGATACTGAAGCAGCCAAAAACATAAAAGAAGTCGGTGCACAGCACGATCCACACATTTTGTTTCCGTCTGTTTCTCTCCTGGTGGTACAACAACAGTGACAGTAATCAGCAGAAGGAAGGCACACACGATCCGAGGTGTATAGGCATACTGAGGATTCATGCTTGTTTGATTTTGTTGGTAAACAAGAGAAAAAAAGCAACACGAGATAGAGTATATACGTGACAGAGAGGAACAAAGTGGGAGATAGGGGTAAATTTCTCACGGTTCTGTCTTTACGGGAACGTTAAAGAGTGATGACCATGGATGACAAACTTTGGCCAATCAACGAGTTCCGCTTCTACCCCGTCTTTGATGCCGGCAAGGGGGCCGCGATCCTTGCAGGGTCCAGTGACAACTTTTCAAGCCAAGGGCGTACGTACATAGCACGGCTATACGGATCCTTGTCGACCGTTAGAAAGATGGCTTTGAAGTGCTATACGATGACAAAATAGCATATTACGGGGTGTACATGAATGCTGCAATGGGCTAATCCAAAAGAGAAGATTGCGTGTTTTTACGCGTATTGCAGTCATCGTTGGTCTATGATAGAGTCCGCCCGAGAAGGTTTTCGACCCCACAATCGCTGTAGAGGAGATACACTGCAAGCATCTCCGACCAAAAAGCGCCATCTTGAGCTTCCGAGGAATCATTCTCCCTGTAAAATATAGCCAAGAAGAAATCATATGTGTGATACCTGTACATAGCAGACGGTTAGTCATCTTTGTTTTTTTTCGATAGTAATGCTATAAAATAAGCATAGTATCTGCTTATAAGCATGTTAAACCTGGAGATATGATATTAGAATGCAGTTACTAAGTAAAATTTCCGCTTGACGATCCGTTTAAAACCGAGACAGCTTGTCAAAATGTCAAAAGAGAAGAAGGTTTATGCGCGATCACCCTCGTACATAACATAATCAGTGCACGGATTGTATCTTAAACGCTATCGCTATGACTTGTATTGTCTCAGTCTCAAACCACGAAAAACCCGGCCTGCGATCAATCAAGAGATGCTGCGGTATAGTAAAAAAAAAAGAAAATGCATTTGCATAGCCGTTCAATGTAATGATTGGCTGAAAAAAAAAATCTGACACAGTGAAATGCCGGTTCAAAGATTGTTTTATAATCGCACCACTGACATGTGAGCCATGCCAATCGGAGCCAGGTAAACTGTGCCGTGAATGGTTGTGGCTGGCGCGAATTACTCACGGTTTCCCGTAGTTTATATAACTCCGCACTAAAACTACTTGTTAGGTCAAAAAGAAGAAGAAGCTTTTTTTTCTCCCTTTCTTTCTCTTACTACCACACATACCTCTTCTACACAATGAGCTACACTGCCCCTGCTAACCTTCACACCAAGAACGCCGAGAACGGTGAAGCCAACAACTTTGGCATCAAGACCGGCTTGGCTCAAATGTTCAAGGTAAAGAGGAAAACCTCTATAAACAAGTCAATCTTTATGCCCTGGCGATCGAGTTGTTTGTAAAGAGGGAAACGAAGGCTAAGTATCCACATGTGTCGATTTATAGGGTGGTGTCATCATGGACGTTGTCAACGCTGAGCAGGCCCGCATTGCTGAAGAAGCTGGTGCTTGTGCCGTCATGGCTTTGGAGCGTGTTCCCGCTGATATCCGCAAGAATGGTACGTTGTTAATAACGATTCTTTTGAAAGGGTTTATGACAAACACTCATGATTGAGCTATGAAGATGGAGTGTGAGAGATCTACTGGTTTAGATACTAATTGTATATATTGGGAATCAATTGCTATAGGCGGTGTTGCCCGTATGTCCGATCCCCAGATGATCAAGGGTATCCAAGAAGCCGTGACCATCCCTGTTATGGCCAAGGTCCGTATCGGCCACTTTGTCGAAGCCCAGATCATTGAATCCATTGGTGTCGACTACATTGACGAGTCCGAGGTCTTGACTCCTGCCGACGAGGCCAACCACATCAACAAGAAGAACTACAAGGTTCCTTTCGTCTGTGGCGCCAAGAACTTGGGCGAAGCTCTCCGTCGTATCAACGAGGGTGCTGCCATGATCCGCACCAAGGGTGAAGCTGGTACCGGTAACGTTGTTGAGGCCGTCCGCCACATGCGCACCGTCAGCGGTGAGATCCGTCGCGCTGCTTCCATGACCGACGAGGAATTGTACGCTTACGCTAAGGACATCCAGGCCCCCTACGAACTGCTTAAGGAAACTGCTCGTTTGGGCCGTCTTCCCGTCGTCAATTTTGCCGCTGGTGGTGTTGCTACTCCTGCTGATGCTGCTCTTATGATGGTACGTTTTCTATAGATGGATATTGAGGATGCACTTGCTGTGCATATATCGGTCTATGCATAGGGATGCAGATCCAGTATGACTCACAAATGTGTTGATTCTTAAACGATCAATCAGCAATTGGGATGTGATGGTGTGTTCGTCGGCTCGGGTATTTTCAAGTCCGGTGATCCTGCCAAGCGCGCCCGTGCCATTGGTAAGTTTTTAACTAACCGAACGCTAGATGCATCTTGTTTAGAGAGCTGCAATCACTCATACTTTTCGTTTTTTTTAGTCCAAGCTGTGACCCACTACAACGACGCCAAGGTCCTCGCTGAGGTCTCTGAAAACCTTGGTGAAGCAATGGTTGGCATCAACTTGGATGAGCTTTCCGAGGACCAGAGATTGGCCAAGCGTGGTTGGTAAACAGCCCACTGGTTGTTATCTTCCCAGTCAATCTTCCCAAAAATTTTTCATTTCTTTCCTCCATACTGTATAAAAATCCCCCCACCATTACCACTCTAACACTCACGACGAAACGAGAGAATAACTTGATAGTAGTGTAGATGATTTGGCATTTTGTTAATAACTTATTCATCAGTAAAATTCCCCCGATCAACATTCATGAGAAAAATACATATTCATTTTCTCTGGAAGAAAAACCACATTTTCTATCTTTTTTCTCATTTCACTTTGGAAGGGTATCTTGAGGAGAAGACCGGGCGTGCGGGGGGAACGAGTGAAATCATTTTCGCACTACGCTTCATATTGGACTCAGTTCACGGAACAACGCGTAAGATTGCGTGTTTTTTCCTGGTTCAGTAATATCTTCAGTATCAGACGTGAAGTTTGACCCGTAATAAATTTGATATAAAAGCATCACTAAATGGGGAAAAGGGTATATTCCTCCGCTACGGATCAAGTTAAAAGTTGGTGCTTTCCTGCAGAGCCCTATTCGAAGGATGAGCATAACAACAACATATTGATGCTAGTTTGTCACTGTTACCGCAAACCATTAATCGCGTTCGCCAAAAAGCTCAATAGATGTTGTATAGAAGGCAATTCTTTGATCTAGGCAAAGTAGCGATCAACAGCTTTAAGCTGTAATTATGACTGGCAGTATAGTTGGCACGTCCCATTTCAAGTGACAATATACTGCATTTTCTCCCCGAGAATTTTTTTGCATAAACCCATTTCCCGCTTCTCTTTTTTCTATTTAGTATGGCACGTCGCGTCGTAGTAACAGGCCTCGGCCTAGTGTCTCCTGTAGGCGTTGGTGTCAAGCACGCATGGACAAACTTACTGAACGGCCACTGTGGTGTTACTTCACTTGCTAACAAGCAGGGTTTTGAGCAACTGCCTGTACAAATCGCAGCATTAGTCCCGCAAGGTCCAAAAGAAAAGGGCGAATTCACGTCCAAAGAATGGCTCGATCGTGGAGTACGTTCTCTTTCGTCTTTCCAAATGTGTATGTCCATGTGGCTCATTAGCTCCTACACTTTTTTTAAACATATTAGGACGAGAGAATCATGGCACCATTCACTCAATTTGCCATTGCAGCGGCTCGACAGGCACTGACCGATGCAGAATGGATCCCTGAAGGCGATGCTGACAAAGAACGAACGGTAATATTAGTTTCACACTCGGCAATAGCAAAACATAATATATAGAAGATAGCTCACATGAATGTATGATATAGGGTGTCTGTATCGGATCTGGTATGGGTAGTTTTGAAGATATCGTGTCAACATCTGTTTCCTATTCAGCTGGGGTAAGCATAACCTTATTTTGGGAGGGAAGTGATAAACTCTATATAAACTAAATACAATCTGTACGCATACAGGGTTATCGTAAAGTATCGCCAATGTTTGTTCCCCGTATTTTGATTAATATGGCTGCTGGACATCTTACGATGAAATACGGCTTCCAGGTAAACGCACGCACCTAACAAACAAACTGAGCCAAAGATGCTATTAATGTTTTTTCTACATGTTCAAGGGACCAAATCATGCCGTATCCACAGCATGTACAACGGGTGCACACTCAATCGGCGATGCTATGCGATTTATCCAATATGGAGATGCTGATGTTATGGTTGCTGGCGGCACTGAATCGTGCGTGCATCCACTGGCCATTTCAGGATTCGCAAAGTAGGTTGTTGTTCGTGATTTTTTACTTGAGCAATTCCCACGCATATCACTCATCGACCTCAAATGGTATGGAAAATGTCATAGGGCAAAGTCACTTGCAGCACAATATAATGAGAATCCAACCGAAGCTTCTCGACCCTTTGATGGGGATCGTAGCGGTTTTGTTATGGGTGAAGGTGCTGGTATTGTGGTTTTGGAAGAATTGGAGCATGCGAAAAAACGCGGTGCACGGATCTATGCCGAGATTGCTGGATACGGCTTATCTGGAGATGCCCATCATATGACTGCACCTCCAGCAGATGGTACCGGTGCTGTCAAATCCATGCGCCGCGCGCTCAAGGTGGCCAACCTCTCTCCTGCAGATATCGGCTATGTCAACGCACATGCAACCAGTACACCCGTCGGTAAGTAACTCTCACTGCCCGTTCAAAGAAAACCAGCATCTTTTTAACCACCCGGTATATATACATGATAGGTGACGCTGCAGAGAATTGTGCTATCAAGACCGTTTTCGATGGTCATTGGGACAAGATCAACGTATCTTCAACTAAGGGCGCGACTGGACATTTGCTCGGGGCAGCTGGTTCTGTCGAAGCAATTTTCACCATCTTATCGCTGTACAATGTAAGCACTTGCCTTCCATCCCTGCATCCTTTCCTTTTTCTTTTTATTTTTCTGACCAATTGACACATCTGGTTATAGAGCACCTTGCCACCCACATTGAATCTGCACCGACCCGATGAAGACTTCAACCTCAACTACGTGCCACTGGTTGCTCAGGAACATAAGGAAATCAAAGCAGCGTTGACTAATAGTTTTGGATTTGGTGGTACAAATGCATCCTTGTGTTTTACCAAGTTTGACTAAACTTTATTTGTACGCTTGTTTGTTTCTTGTTGTTATTGCCAATGATCCTCTATTTTGTTCGTTCTTTTGCTGTTGTACAAAGCATTGCGTTGATGGATTTTTATCGTAGAGGACTATAGGTCAAAGGCTTCAGGATGTAGGATGACATGTTGTCAACCAACCGTACTATAATGATTTATACATTATTAGTGAAAAAGAAACCCACATTACACACTCGCGTCCCACAGCAATCCTTATATTCTTCCTCTTATTTTCACCCAGTTAAAAATATAGAGATGACATACCTGTCTTGTACACAGTCTCTGCCCATCCATCCACATTCCATGCATCTTCACGCGTCGTTTTACGTGTTTGCAAATCACTAAGCGGTTTGTACAGTTGACAGTAGTAGGTAATATGTGAGTAACGGAGTAAACGATTATCAAATGTGAAAGGAGGGGTGAAGAACTTACGGATAAGTCCACATGTGATGGACGCTATGGAGTTCACCAAGCTGGCTAAACCATGCACCGACTGGTGCACAATATTGACGTCGGCACTCGAGACCCTTTCGCCTAGTAAAAATCATGCACATGCAATTTGTTAGCTTATCGGGCTGGTCCGGGCTCTGTGTTGGGTGGTTCTTGATTGGCTTACTTACCATTCGGTTTCCCATTCCAGCAAACGACCAGGCTATTTATAATGCGTGCACGCGCACCGATGCGAAAGAGAAAGACAATGATATAAAAGCATTAACACTCCTAAACCCCACTGCTGATTAATGAATAACGACAGATGTTCATACCTTTAGCTGATAGTGACGCAGCTCATAGATCCCGTTGGTTTCCATAGGAGGAGACGTCTTCCAAAAGGAAAATTCAAGCATCACATTGTTCTCACGCGAAATGAGAAGCGGGCGGAGTTGCTTCAAGAAGGCGTTATACTCCTTTTTGCAAAGAAAGGTCAATGACGTTTAGTTAGGTTTCAATTCCACGATAATGGCGACCCTGATATTGTTGCCGGTACATATTATCTTACTAACCGGGTCTTCAGCCAAGCGAGCCATGGTATTGCGATGACCTGGATATCCCTTGTACTCCCAGATATGCACTATAATCACATATAGCGTTTTTGTTTTGTTCACCCCGAGGTCAGCCACAAAGAAACGCATACGTGTTTTCACCCTCACTCTTTCTCCTCAAACCAAAAAAAAACCCCCCTACCAAATGTATCCAGTTCGCCAATCACAACCTCCCAACTACCACAGAGATGAAGCTCGTTTCGTGGATTATTGGCAATCTTGGGCAAGTAAGACGTTCTAAAAATGGTCACAGCAGCAACCGTCTAATGTTTTTAGCTTCTCCTGAAGTGTTTGAGAGCTTATAGACGCGTAATAAATTCACTTACACAAGGTTGATGTATTCCTCGACTTTGTCAGGCCTGACTTTATGCTCTATATTGAAACAGGAAAGCGTACAGCTGTTAGCTTATGCTCTTCTGTGCTGTGGTCATGCATATAGAAACTGCAAAAAAAGGTATTGTCTACATACTCTGCAACTCATGAACGTATTTTCCTCGTGCCAGCATCTTAGAATGAGTCTGATTATCCTCTTCCTTGGTCTTCTTGGAACCATAAAGAACAGCCTCAATGAACTCGTTGGCGATGTTTTGCTGCCGTTTCTTTTCGTCCACATCAGTAGAATCTTCAACCTTTCCCGGTGTCAGTACACTTGGAGTCTTCTCTAGAGCCGTAGTAGGCGTTGTGCTAAAAGTTCTCTGGCAGTTGTATAAAGCAGCTCGGGATAGTAAATTACTACTCCTACTAGCAGAAATACCACGAGAGGAACGTAATAACCAGGACATGATTTCTTTGTGTGTGCGTTTGTTGGGAAGATAAGAAAAGTATGTGGGTGGGCGTGTGAGAAAAAAAAAAGAGAAAGTGAGAGAAGAAGGGTGCAAACGTAAAAAGCAGCCGGTTCAATTTATGTTAATAAGGGGCCGTAGATGTACCCGATTTAGGGTTCGTGAGTGGGTGACACAAGGTTCTTTTCGGCTGCATAAACCAGTCTAAGTTGCGGTTTTACGTTTACACCGTTGCCCGCTACGTCATTTTCTCCCAAAAGAGCAGAACGTTGTTTTACTAGGCATGATAACAGAAAGGCCTTCTCACACACTTGAGAAAGTCACAAGCTGTAATTTTTCTACAGATGATTGATATACAGGCAACAAAGAGCCAGGAACAAGAAAATTTTAAACGAGTGGGGAAGTCTAAATGAAAAGATGGGTTGATATGATGAAAAAGCGCATCAGCAATCTATCATCTAGGGAACACTAAATAAGGAAAAGTTTAACTCGATTCAATACGACTGTCTCAGAAGATTGCAAGCTTGTTATCCAAAGCTTAATTACGCGTTATGTGTTTTCAGTAACTAAAGGCTCGCATGATTAAAGATATTTCCATCTTCCCGTAAAAATGCTATTTATCAAACTTGCAAAAGGAAAGTCACCATGTCATTTCCCGTCAGGATACAACCCTAGGAATGTCATGACAAGCCACGACACTCGCGGCTTGCCATCTGAGCACGTCCCATCCGTACAGCTTTTCTTCTCCACTGTGCATTGTTAAATACTTAGGGCGTTGGCTCGCCGTAAAAAATCAACTCTATGTCGAGTGGACCCAAAGATTCTTAAAAGTCGGTCCACCATCGCTGGTGCCCAAGGCTTCCCATCGGGAGTAGTTTTTACGCCAGCGTCTTTAATATACTTTGCCTTGCACACGACATCGACAAGAAATTCGCCTGACTTGCTCATGGTTCTTCGGTCGATGTTCGTGCACAAGAGCGGCGACAAGAAGGGTCTCCCGGCATCAAGATATGGGGTAGCTCTTGAACCTTACTCTCTGTAGCGTTACAGACCGCTTTGCAACCTAAGCTCCCATGTCTTAAAAATACGATGACATTCTGAACACAATATGATTGAATACATATAGCAAACGAGCGATTGAGAGAACGTAATCTAAAGAAGATAGTATTGTTGACAACTCTCACTAGGATGTCGTACATATCGAGAATAAAAATTATTATACTAAAGAAGGTCCAATCGGGGCAAATTAATAATAGCTGCCCTGAGAAAGGAACTGAAATATCGTGAAGGTGGGACTCGTAGCTACTTCCAATCCAAACAAGTCAACGAGCGCTACAAACTTGACTTCTTTAGCATAAGTTACATCAGCTTTGATAACACCGGCTAAGCCCCTGAGCTTATTGAATTTGAATGATCTCTTCCAGCCATCGTCGTCAAAGGCTCTGTTGAGCTTGTCAATGGTTTCGTTAGGATCTATACAATGCTTTTAGTGTTCGACCTTTTTAAACAAAAAGCTATCTCAAGTAAAATGTATGTTGAAACGACGTAACCTATAGTAATACGACTGTGATCATAGTGATGTTTGCTTAAAGTTCGTATAGTTTTTATCTTCAACATTTGTGTTAAATGACTTGACAAGCTGATAGGTATGATAGTAATTAGTGCTACTTTTTTCGTCGAGCTCTTCCATTTTAAACACTGTATGTTGCACTATTGGATCTCGTTGTGCGGCGTAATACGAAAGCGGTAGGCTTGTATGATGACACCTCAAGTTTTTGTTTCTCGCTTCGTTGGAAGGGGTTTACAGCAGCTTTGTGTAAGAACTAAGCGTTATTGATAAAGATAATGCCCATCGGCACCGGTTCATTTAGTCTTCCACAATAAAACATAAACTTTAACCTATTGATGACAAGGACTTCAACTTCTATCGTTGCTATTCGACTAATAGCTATGCAAAAGCTGTCAACAGGATGTAGCATCTAACAGTATATTTTAGAAGCGCTTCCTGCCTCGCTTCGCTCAGCCGAAATAGAACCTCTATTTGGAGGACAAGCCCAAAAACCCTCAGGTAGTGACAGCGTCTTGGATTATATCTGTAATCTACATTACAGTTGTATCATAGCTGCTCCAATTCTTGCAACTGAGGGTTTCCGATTTCTTTTTGCAAGAAAAATTGGGGATTTGCGAAACAATTCTGCTTGAAATATACCTGAGATAAATCATCCTACTATATAAAAATCACTACTTTGTTGTTCATCTGTCAGAGCCGATGTACGATACGTCGCGAGGGATTATTCTCATAGGTCTCGATGTATCCCCGCTGTATATGTTGGAAACGTCATGACCTCATTTCTACATGTTTCATCTAAATAACTTAACAGTAGATTTGTTGATGGAAAAAGCCTAGAAAAAGAGGCAGTTTACATGTACGTCAAGAGGTAGATGACATCGGCATTAGAATCTGCAATTACAACATCGAGAGTTTTGTCTATGTACAGTATGCAATAAGAAAACTACAGATTGCTCAAGTACATAGCTGATATGATTTCCAAAGGGATATGACTTTTTCACATTACGTATTATAATCGAGTGGGCTATTTATTTTCTTTGGGAAATAGAGGCATCGATAGAAACTATGTATGGTGTTGTGTTGCATACAACAATATTAAAACATGACAGTATCACGCAAGGCAAATCGAGGTATTTTGCGATAATCGCCTTCTTTGCCCAGTCGCCAGAGATATACATCCAAATGACCTTCATTCATATGCGTCACAGCCGAGACAGACGCGTTCTGCTTTACTAATTCCACAATGTCTTCACAAGCCACGATAGACGCAGCACGTAACGTTGTCGCCCGAATCTCTCCAAGATCTTGACCATCCGTTATATCCGCTTGCCAACTCTCTGGAATCTCCAGTACGCCCAAATGCACCAGAAGGGTAGGAACCACATTATCAGCAAACACGGTGAGGTTATCAATGTCTGCAAAATCGAATCGGTCAGGTTCCTGGTCACGGAAGAACATCCACAGGTGGTACACGAGGATCTGAGCCTTCTTCAAAACATATACTGGCCGCCCATTAATTTCAGAAATATCACGCAGTCCCGGTAAAGCCTTGGTAAGGTGCTCGACGAGTTTGGACGCCGATGGTTTTTGATTTGCGACAGGTTTGGTTAGATCCAGGATAAATGCTGCTAAATCGTTATACTTGTGTTGTTCCAAAAACTCGCCCGTAGTATTCAAGACAGTGGTGATACCGTCTGCAAGCTGTTTTAATTCAGTAGGCTCGGTCATAGTGATGAATGGCATGTCCTTTGGCTTGACTTCTCGGTCGATAGGGAATTGGAATATCTCGGATACTTTGAAGGCAGTCATTGATTTGAATGTTGCTGCATCCATGGGTGTGCCACCAATATGGAATGACATGGCGCCAAAACGGATCGTATCAAAAGCACTTTATTTTTGTTAGGTTATCAGAAATTATATGCATGTATGATTTGTACGGCGTGTTATTGCTTACCCTCTTCCAGCAAGTTCGTGTAAAGGAACGCGATATCCGCTTCCAAAGTTCAGCAAATCAATCAGTGCGACAAAATTCAACTCTTCAGCAAGTGTATCGAATTTCAAAGGCATACGTATGGGCGTGTCCACTGACAACTCTTCAAAACGATGCTTGTCAAGATTCTTAAGAAATGATCTTATGCCATCGGCGGAGACCTGTTGTATAATTCGTGACGGGAGAGATCAGTTAAACAAATATCTAGTAGTTGGCAGAGTTCCTCCCTAGACAATATTTAATATTACTTACCTTGACTGGACCGTTTTCTGTTAGTGCTCGACACGATGATCGCACTGCTTCGAGGTAATCGCCTTGTGGGGGTGACATTTTATGTAAAAACGTTTGCGTGTATGCCAAAACCTCCGCTTATTTGTTAAACTTTGCAAACCCTTTACTGCGGTTTATGCTTCACACGCTTTACAGTAAGGTCCGCTCAAAAGCACTGCGCCGCATATTAACGCGTCATCGACAACACCACAATCACCATGCGAATACCATAACGGCTCAACAGGCAGCAACGGTATGAATATCACTAGACGTTTAACTTTTCTTTCATCGACGTCTGGCTGTTATCTGCAGTATCCATTATTATATGCATATGTGCTAATATCACTTAAACTGCAGTAATTGAGGCACCAATTGTCCTTGTTTAGGTACCATGGCCACGAAGTATACCTTCTATATTTCTTCACATCCATTTCTCTCAGGTTGATCAATTTAATGATATAGTGTGTATCAAAACCATGATTTGTTAAAGTACTAGTCATTTAGTCACAATTTTGGAATGCTACACGTGATGGCAAGGATTTCTTGTTGATATCTACTGTAGCCATGAGAGCCACCCATTTACCCGCACTCTTCTCATTCTTCCTTTAACTCGTGAGTGCAAAACCCGAGAAGGATGACCAACAGTAAAGGATATAGTAATTTATTAGCTTCTATTAACTCATAAATTTTTCCCAGGAAATGACAATGTTATATGGAGTGGTGCTTTATCGAACATAAAGAAAAAAGCTTGAATATTCCTTTGCTTCCGAAGAAGCTTGGTGTTCATTACATTGAACAAGCATAACTGCATTTGCCACAACAATCTACACGCTACCTATTATATGGGCTTGTAACTGAGACAAGTGCCGAAACTCATACCCTTAGCAGCTTCAAATCTTTTTCAAGCAAATCCAAACTTATAATGACACCAACCTGACAAGAGTGGTATAATAATATACAGAAAAGCGTTGCAAAACGGTTTTTAGGCACGCTGTACCAGTGTCGCGATTTATTTTGTACGTCATGAAGAGACGTCTCTAATCCACCCTTTTTTATTGCTGCTTGCGTCGGGTAGGGTGAAGAGAGTGAGAGACATGGGTGGAAATGTAGAAGGTAACCTTTGTGCATGGCGAAGCACTTTCACGTTCTTTTCAGATTATGCAGGACTTTGATAATATAACGCGACTTTTCGCGCCTGTGTCACGCGTCAAAAAAAAAGAGGGGGGTTTCTTGGTGGTAGACTAAAATTTAAACTTCCTACAAATTCTTTCGTCTTTACATACAACCAAGAATGGCATCTGAAGAGTCAAACACGCAACAATCACAACAACAACAGCAAAAACCAGAACGCGCTCTAGGTTCCACAACCCTACCAATAGCTCGAGTCAAACGCGTCATTAAAGAAGACAAGGAAGTGTCTTTGATTAATGCAGAAGCCACATTTTGTGTTGCTTATGCAACAGTAAGTAGTTGATGATCGATCGTCAACAACACACTAAAAAAACCAGATTGAGAGAGAAAGAAAGAAAAATAATATATTGCAATAGGAATTATTTATGGAATATCTTGTCAAAGAGGGTTTCACACGGGCACGAAAAGAAAAGCGAAAAACGATCTTTTATAAAGACCTTGGTATGTGGTGGGATGGATATATAAGGGCATAAACACAACGCAAATCAAGCAAAGCACACGAAGAAATTCTTACCTTATCATGAGTTTTTGTTTCTAATGTCAGCATCTGCTGTAAGCGAGGTTGAGCAGTTTGAATTCCTCGAAGACGTTATCCCACACACAATGACTCTCAAAGCAGCCCTGGAACGACGAAAAGACACATTAAATGAAGACGAATCACTTGAACCTTCACGAAAGAAATCCAAGACGACCCATTCCGAAGAAGAAGCAAACAACAACAACACTAGTAATGAATTACGGCAAGAAGATGAAGAAGTAGAAGAAGAAGAAAGAGACGAGGATGATGAAGAAGAAGAAGAGGAAGAAGACGATGAACAGCAAGAAGAGACAGATCAACAGTAGCAACATCATTTTTGTCCCATCAGCAAAAACAAGATACATTTCTTTTCTTTATAAAAAGAGATTTGTTTTATTGATTGTCAATTTGGAACTCGGGTACTTCTTTGGTCGCTTTCCACAGAACATGATCAGCCTTTTTGAACTTCTTTTGCTCTCGAAGATAGGAGATATACATTTGGTAGATTTCTATAGTACAAATAGAGTTTATTCGTTGGTTAAATTCAATGAATCAACATTGTTTTCTCTCCAACAACAAGCGACTAAAAAGTTACCTTCTTTGTGGTTGTCCAGACGCGTAGCCATTTCATACAGGTACTCAACTGGCTCGCTGTCTTGTTCTTCTTTCTCAATCGCAAGACATGTCTGGTAAAAACCATATGTCGGGTACAGGCTTTGGATGATTCTTTTATAGACGGCTCTTGCGCCAACAACGCCCTTGGCTTCCTTTGACCAGCGTACATAACTGCACAAAACCAAATCTTTGATCCGGTTGCGGTCGTCAGGAGCAGCAGTGGAAAGCGAAGGTAGCAGCATAGTGACTTGTTCAGCAGCGCGCTATATATATCATACGTCAACAATCATATAAAACTTCTTGGGTAGAGAGCTATACACCCAGAATATCATTTAAGACGCGTCCATACCATGTATAACTTGTCGAGTTCTTCCCCAGCGTCCTGTTGTTTCTTCATTGCAACCGCCGTGTTCCATCGGTTGCCCAGACACGTTGTGAAAAAATCCCACAAACCATATGATTCAGGGCAATTCTTCAAAGCTTGCTGGAACAGCTCATCTTCTGAATCTGTCGAGGACAATAAACACGTCGTTATCATTCTAGTCAGTAAAGGCTTATTCATACAAGAAGCCGTATCCCTATATGTTTCTTTTACCATCATCTTTGCTGCAAAGGGTGATCTTCATTAGCCACAAGTCGGAAGAGTTGGGATATTGTTGAACGGATTTTGTTACGACGGATTGTGCTAAGAAAAGAGTATTAAAATACAGGCTCGTTTCCTCCCTCTCACTTAGTGGATACTATGATATGCTTACCTTTATCCTCGTCGTATTCTAATAAGGAATCTATGTGATTTTTACATAAAGTAGCGGATGAAACGTCCATTTTCCGTGCCACTTTGAATGCTCGTTGTAAAACTTTAGAGAGATAGAGTTTCTATTTCCTCCCATTAAACGTTAATAAGTGAAAAGACCATACAAACACAGCTTTTATACCATATCATCAGCACTTACAAGGTTTTCTTCAAAAGTGAAATTATGCTGTTCGAGCAGAAATTGGGTGTAGCGTTCAAACATCTCAGCAGTAGGAACCTCCTAGATGGGGGTAAACAACAAGCTATTGAGTTAGGAGAAAATACATTCTGTTGCCTTGGAAAAAAAACATCCAGTGTCCAAAAAAAGGGTCATACCTGAACTGCTTGATTGAAATCTTCTACACAAGCTTTAATGGCAGGAATGAATTCAGGTTCACCCGTGCCAATGTATCTTGAGGTATCGTTCTCTGATGTTTGCTTGACTTTAGAGAATAAGTGTCGCTGAGCAAGGTAGGATCGAGCAGCTGGATTGGATTGCATGTCACGCAAGATCGTCTCAAGCACATGATCAATGCCTAGCTCTGATTCTGAAAACATACGATAAATATCGACGAACTTGGTTCGAAAATCCAGCTCTTTTGGTATAGCTAACAAGCAGTTCCCCACAATACAATGTAACGGTTTAGTAAATAATCCTCGTTTCTCTTAATCAAACAAGCTGTACTACGTATATGCTGCTCTTTACCTTCAATGGCATTATCATATATAATTTTCGCAAGTAAACCGTTCAAAATGGGGTTCACGCCCTCTTTTAATGCTTCGGCGGTCGACGCTTCCATCTTTTTAACCGTTTTACGTTCGTCGCTCTCTTCGTTCCAATTCTCCATATCTTCGCCTGTAATCGTGGGAAGTCGGATCGTGTTTTCATCACTCTCGTCGACTTCCATAGCCCGCTGCTCTTCTTCCTTCTTTTGTTGTTCTAATGACTTTTCATCCACACCGAGAAGACGTCGTCGCATTTTGATCTTTTCAACATAGAGTAATTCGAGACGGAAATATTCGTGCCACAACGATTCGCTGTCAGGATTAAGTCGTAAGGCGCGTTGCATTAATACTTTCAAGGAAAAAGAGGTAATAAGTCAGTTTCATGCTCTTTTTTTTTCTCATACACAGTTTCTAAAAACTTTTGATTTACCTCGTGCCGCGGCAGGGTTTGCATTATCTTCAAACTCCCAAGATGCTGCCAAGATCCACAATTCGGGTTTCCGTGGATGATATTGTAAAGCACTAGATACAGGGTATAAACATACATCCTCCTTTTCGTACGATCGTTTTCTATTGGTAGAGAAATCTCACCTAACGAAAATGCCACTTAGCACATTATTTGCTTTGCTTCGCTTTGCATGATCAATGTACTGCATCCACAAGGATACGTCGCCATTGAATTTGATAAGAGCACGTTTAAATAGACCGTTGATTCGTTGTTTAATCGAGTATTCAGATACGCGTGTTTTATCGTCGTCATTGTTAGGAAGAACTGGCCAATGTTTTTTTTAAATGTGTTAACAAATTATTCTTCTACAAGCTATTATACATGATGGATATAATTTTCTTTACCTGTCATACGCGCTTTCCGCTTTTTGCGTAACATGTCGAGATTCATTTCATATTCGATATAACGTAGAAAGTCAATCTTTTTGACAATGCGTCGAGCAATGGCGTATTCGAAATTGGTGCGTTTCTTAATGATCGCCTTGATCTCGGTCTAATAATATGTGTGTGTAAGTTTGATAGATCAATCAAAGCGAATTGGGAAAAAAAAGATCCCCTAGTCCATTACCTTACTAAATAGTCCCTTACGCTCGAATTCCTCGAGCTCCGGAACCATACGTTCCAAGCGATATTGTACTGTTTCCGCCATTTGTTAATTGTACTGTGGAAACGATCAAAATCGGTATTTTACAAAAAGGTTGTCAAAAAAAAAACTTAAATTTTTTCAGGCCTTTTTTTTTTGTTGTTCAGCCGCACTACCCGAAGGTACCGTTGTTTCACAAACAGATAAAAAAAATATAATAATGCAGTGAGCATACTGCCTACTTTTATAACATCGACAACCCTTTCATGTAGATAGGATTGCTAATCAAAACATATCTTTCAAGGTGGTTTGTCTCGAAGACTCACATATGCTCAAGTAACGTACACCGGGTAAACTTGATGAAGGAAAAGAAAAACCCTTGCCATCCGTTATAACGTCCTTATGAGCATCACAACAGCAGAGATCTGGAGTGAGAAAGAGCAAAGTTCAACTAGTAGCACTACTCCTGCAGAAGCCAAAGAGAAGGTCTTAGCATTGATATCATCTCTATAACCACTCCAGGAGAGATGTACTTGTGAGCTTGGTTCCATGTACTGTTTAAACAAAATACTCGATCTGGTTACTGGCAATTGCCCACCTTGCTTTCTCTCAATTTACACAGCTTCTATCCCTTATCTTCTCCGACACCCACCTTGTTCCCTTCCCAAACCCCACAAGCATGCTAAAGAATGTTGCTGCACTGATTTTATGCATTGCAACCGTAGCTCTTGGACAAAGCAACAATTTTCAATTTGCCACACGATTCCCACAAAACAAATTATACAACTTGTCACCGAGTTCCACTGGTCTTGACAGCATCGATGGAACAGTAGCAGCCTTTGGCGACTTTAATAATGACAAGTTGTAAGAAAGTCTTTTTTTCCTTTTCTTTTGAACAGTGTGTGTGTGTGTGTGTGTGTCGCAATGTGCAGTTTCTTTATCGAACCGCCTTACTATTTTTTCTCCAGTAAAAAGACAATAGAGCAACCTTTAGTTTTTCGTTTTCGCTAATCTCTACATATCGTTTTAGTACCGACTTGTTCATTCTTGGCGCCGACCAGCATTCTTTATCTGTATATACTTGGCATCACCGTACGTCATGAATATCGAGTGATAACAGCCAGTAACCAGCACCATGCAAAAGACACCCCGGCTTGTCCTTCTTATATATCATAGTGAGTCGCTAAAATCTTATTGTTATCACTTTTTTTTTGTATATAGAAAACTTTACCTTTATTCCAGCGAGCAAAACACCACAAATTGTAGAAAAAGACTTTATTATCACGAGTGTCGTACCGGGCGATTACAACTATGACGGAAAACTCGACGTATTATTGATGGGACAAAAGAACCCGAGCAGTAGCTCAGATTCTGAGATATTCATGCGGATATATCGAGGAAACGGAAATGATACCTTTGGTATGAAATTAAAGGAAGGAAGGCCGCCCGTTGTGTTGCATATAATGGGCAGTTAGAAATTAACTTGTTTTTACAACTACCAGAATCTGAGCACATTAACGTGCCATCGGCAAAGGGAAGGCATCCTATGGTATTGGATCTTACGGGTGACATGAAACTCGATTTGCTTGGATATTCGAATGAAGGTGATAGTAGCAAATTGAGTATGTGGATTAATACCGTCGATAAAGATAATATGAACACCACTTCCATATACAACGTGTAAGTGCCCAAAGTCGGGAAAAGCCCCTCTTCCGAAAAAAGGACGTTTGGAAAAGTCTTCTTATACTTTTGTATAGAACCTCTGCATCATCGATTTTGGATGAGAACGAAACAACAAAGTGTATATGGACCCATCCGCATTCGAACGCAGTCGTCGATTTGGATGGAGACTGCTTAGCAGGTAATACAGAAGTTACTTTTTTTCTGATAGTTATTAATATATGTATATTAAAATTTTTACTGTCTCAGATCTTGTGTTTGTATGTCAACACACAGGATATCAAAGCTTGCAGATATGGACCAACCAACGAGATGAAGGTTTTCAGAAAGCCCGTGAGTTGAACTTACCCGCAGGTGCCGGTCCTATCAGTTACGCGGATATTGGTAAAACTTTAAAAAAAAACAGAAATTATGCAGAAAACATAAAGTGTGTAATTTGTCTCTAATATTTTTTCTGTAATATCAAGATGGTGATGGTTCGATTGATCTCATATTCCCCGTCAAGCAACAGATCCATGTCGTTTATAATCAACAGATGGATCTTTGCTCCAAGAACGATAACAGTGATAACCCAGACTGTCGTAAAGCTGGAGATCTGTGTCGTGCTGATCCGAATTTCAATTTTGATATGAGCTCACCTGACAGCAAGGTAATACTTTTTTGTTTTCGTTGGTTTGTTTGTATTATGATTTTCATGAGCATCCTATGTGAAAATTGAACCAACTTTTTTCTATCTAAATGCATTACATTAGGGCTATGTGATTTTTGATCTGGAAGGCTATATTGATTCCAAAGGATCCATTCAAACTCAAGATCCTGATTTCAAGGGAGTATGGCCTATTGCTGTACATCCTGGTTAGTAGCATGATTGTCATATGTAAAAATAAGGAAACGCTGACTTAATAGGTGATCACATATGTCTTTCAAAAGGTGATTACAATTTGGATGGATACCCTGATTTATTGGTCACAACAAACAACAAAGTGTTCCTACTCGACAATATCTTGTGCACGTACAAATTATGCTCCTCTGGCGCAACGGATGTGTCAAGAAGATCATTTTCGGTGGTTCAACAAGGCGCCGAAGCGCTTGCAAAGATATCCAATCCCAGACAAGCTGTCTTTTTTGACATTGATGAAGATGTGAGTTCCTAAAATAATAAACCCAGCGGCTGTCCCCAATATCCCATATTCATCTACCTTCCTTTTTCCGTTGTTGCGGAGAATAGGGGTCGCTCGATATGCTCGTGCTTTCAAAAACGAATACACGATCCGATGCAAATCGTACACCGAATTTCATCATCAACAACTTCTTTAATGATGCATTTTTCTTAAAAGGCTTAGGTAAAAAAAGTTAGATTTCAGGTACCCTGTTGCACAAAGAGGCTGATAATCTTATCTTTTTTTTGCAGTATCAAACGGCGTATGCGGTAATAATTGTCCTACTGAGAGTGGATACGCAAAGGTAAAACGAAGGATACATTGCTGCTAGTGTTCTTTTGTAACTAAGATTAAGAATGTGTTACTAGCCATATGGCGTCAATTACCCCGGAGCTACTTTAAAGTTCACTGTGTTGGATACGTCGGGCACCAAAAGAGCGCATCAAGGTAAGCATTTAGAAACGCTAGAGACAGAGAGGGTGAGAGCAATTAGGAGAATTAATCCGGAGGATGGTCATCCTGGAAAAAGTACTGAGATCTTTTTTTCATTTTAATTTAGTCTCTCAGCTTCCGCAGACCTCATATCTCTCGTTACATACGCCATACTGTTTGATCGGGTTAGGAAGAACGAATAACTATGTGGAGGAAATGTTTGCGGGGGTTTCGCGCCATCAGGTAAAGTTGCCAAGTTTGTAATCAAACAGAAACAGAAAGCACACACTGCTCGCCTATCTGTCTAACAAGTGACATACTACTATGATCGTTATGAATAGGAGCAAAACTACCTTTTCTACGAAGGTGTGATCCCCAACTCACAGTTAATCTTCATTCCATATCAACCTAATGACGTACACGACAGTTCCACGTAAGTTGTTCATAAAAGGAAAAGAGAGACATCAAATAATAACACACATATAATTTATCATTCCATAGGTGGAAGGTTGAACTATATATCCAACCGGGTGATTATGTTCCGTGGGTTCTGGTAGTGCTGGTAGTGGCAGCAATCATTCTGGGCGTCGTGGTAGGCGTACTATATTGGATGGAGAAGCGAGAAGATGAAACGGAACGACGAAAGGCACTGCATATCATTAACTTTGATGCGTTGTAATCCAAAAAAAAGCATCATCATCATCATCATCTATGTAAAATAAAAGACATGACATTACTACACGTACTATACAAACAAACTCCTTCTATATGTGTATCCAATCTTTAAAGAGAATAACAGCAGCACAAAGGATTTTGAGTTTGGGGTTCAAGCGATGGGCCATGTTCTCGTCCTGCGGCTAATACTATAGCCAATTCTGCGATTGTCTTGTTTCTGGGATTTGTCATCAGCTGTTCGGAACCAACGCAAAAAGAAAATGCGGGGTCTTTGGGCGGTCGAACTACGGAAAATATTGTGATTTTGCAACTCAGGGCACGGGACGGATCGAATTCCGTCATTCGTGTAATTTTTCGTATCCGCTCCACACACACACTCTCTCTCGCGCTCTCGGTCTAATTAAGGCATATAAAAACCCTTTGGTTCGTTGGTTGCATATCTTCTCTTTTTCCTTCTCTTTCCCTTACATTCACAGAAACAAAAGAAAAAATGGCTGCTGGCAAGATTGTCGTAAAGAACCCCGTTGTCGACCTCGATGGTGATGAAATGACCAGAATTATCTGGCAGTTCATCAAGGAGAAGCTTATTCTCCCTTACCTCGACCTTGATATCAAGTACTATGATCTTAGCGTCACCTACCGTGATGAGGTAATATATATAAAGAAAAGGATCGGCATTTGCTACAGACTATTGCATAACAGTCGATCAAAAATTAAACATCTTTTTGTTTTCTACGTATGGTTGTCATAGACCAACGACCAGGTGACCGTTGATGCTGCCGAAGCCATCAAGAAGTACAACGTCGGTATCAAGTGTGCCACCATCACCCCTGATGAAGCTCGTGTTGAAGGTAAAGAAAAGATCCTCGGACATGGATGAGCCCTGCCCCTCTTCCTCCACCACAAATCCTTACGCTAGGTATCTTTTATCATTGAATAGAATTCAAGCTCAAGAAGATGTGGAAGTCGCCCAATGGTACTCTTCGTAACATTTTGAACGGAACTGTTTTCCGTGAGCCCATTGTGCTCCAAAGTTTGCCTCGTCTCGTTCCCGGCTGGACTGAGCCCGTGATCATTGGCAGACACGCTTTCGGTGACCAGGTAAAAGAGAGTTGTGTGGAATGATAGATATATACAAAAAGGAACCAATGTATGTGAATGTACACTGACGTAAACATGTGCTTAATCTGTAATAGTACCGTGCCACTGACTTTGTCACTGGCGGCGCTGGTAAGCTCGAGATGACCTTCACTCCTGCTGATGGCTCTGAGCCCAAAAAGTACCAGGTCTACGAATTCGAGGGCACTGGTGGTGTTGCCATGTCCATGTACAACACTGACGAATCCATCGAAGGTTTCGGCCACGCCTGTTTCCGTATGGCCATTGACCGCAAGATGCCCATGTACTTGAGCACCAAGAACACCATCTTGAAGGCCTACGACGGTCGCTTCAAGGATATCTTCCAAGAAATCTACGAAAAGGAATACCAGTCCCAGTTCGAGGCCCTTGGCATCTGGTACGAGCACAGACTCATCGACGACATGGTCGCTCAGATGCTCAAGTCCAAGGGCGGTTTCGTTTGGGCTTGCAAGAACTACGATGGTGATGTCCAGTCTGATATCCTCGCCCAGGGCTACGGTTCCCTTGGTCTCATGACCTCTGTCCTTTACACCCCCGATGGCAAGACCGTTGAGGCTGAAGCTGCCCACGGTACTGTCACCAGACATTACAGAGAGCACCAAAAGGTAAAAAAAAACAATGAATGGGTTGTTCAATCTCTTTGATAGAAACCAGACATGGCGGAGGGTGATGTGCTTCTTTGAGTGAGAGAGAGAGAGGGATTGCTGACATGGTTACCGTCTTTTGTTACCAGGGTAACGCTACCTCGACCAACCCCATCGCCTCTATCTTTGCCTGGACCCGTGGTTTGGCCCACCGTGCCAAGCTTGACGAAAACGCTGAGCTGGCTCAGTTCTGCAAGGACCTTGAGCAGGCCTGCATTGATGTCATTGAGGTTGACAAGAAGATGACCAAGGATTTGGCTTTGTCGCTTTACGGCAAGGAGTAAGTGATTCGTTCCGGAGTGGGGGTATGGGGTTGACAATCAGTTTGATATGTCGCGGGCCTTTACTAACGTTCTTCTCATGATGACAATAGCATGAAGCGCGAGCACTACTCTACCACCGAAGAATTCTTGCAGCAGATCTCTGACAAGTTGGCATCCATCCGCAGCAGCTCGGCGTGAGTACCTTCATCTCGCTCTCTCTCTCTATCTCATAGAGTAGATCTTTGAAAAAAAAAAGAAAGTCCAAAATATCCTACAGTTTCTTAACTTTGTGTCTTCTCTTCTTCGTATTTAACTCTCCTCCCTTTCTGTGCCATCTCTGTTATCTCTCTTTCCGACGCTTGTATACAACCCACACACACACACACAAACACACATATACAAAACTAGGCTCGCGCAACAAAAGCAAAAGCTCTAAAATAAACGTACTGCACTGTTGCTACAACAGCCAACTATATCATCATCACCAAACAACCGATTTATTTTCCATCAATTCTTTCGCACGGTCAGCAAGCATAATACAGCGCACCAAAAACTGAACACAACACATTCCCCACGCTTCTTTCTTTGGAGTTTCAATGGATCTTTGAAATGCCGAACCGTCTTCTTCCGCCATTTTCACATGTCCTGCCGGGAAGAGGGGATCAAGTGCTTCCTCTGATAATGATCGTAATCAATCATCTTTAAAAAGATAACCCTTTTCAGTAGCGGTATCTTTAACTCCATCTGACTCTCGGAAATATATACTAATTCGATGTTTTTTTTATCTAATGTGCCTGCCGATCCAATCTTTCTGAGTGGGGTGTGTGTATGTTTCTCTTTCAATCCGTCGGCCCGACGAATTGTCCACCTTTTTCCATATCATCCATTATCATCATCCAAACCCCAATGTCTGGTGCATGGACCTTGAAAAAAAGAACGCGGGAATGTCTGACAAAGCTGCTGGGACCTGTCACCGGGGGATTTGGGTTATACTAGCTACTTTATATAAGATCCTTTTCTTTTGCAGTTTTTTGGACATATGCTCTTGAATAGTGTACCAAGCTACAAGAGCTGTTATGGATATATGTATATGGGTCCAATAGCCCTTTCCAAAAACGAGTATGTGTGGGGTCAGTGTAGCACACTAAATCAACATGTTGCGCATAATATTTGAGCCATCTACAACGGAGGCGTGGAGAGGAAAAGGTTTCATAAGTGTCCCCTTTCCACTGAAACAGGTTGGTGTTATAACTTTTGTCAATCCATATTGGGGACGTAACACTCCGCTCAGCTTTTTTGACAGGCTGCGATGATTTTTGACAGGTGTTTGTTTGCTTGATACAGAATCTGACCACCACGTCGTCCCCCACTTCGTACAACCTTTCCGTTGCCACCCAAAACGAAACGCTGCAACCCTTGTTCCTCCCCTCTCCCCCTTGACCCAAAGACTTTGCAATAAGCCCTAGAATAGGCCATTGTTGAGGACGAAATAATCAAACGAATCTAAGAAAGAACAGCTCTTATCGTTCACTTGACATATAATAGTGACAACAGTAAATCAACTGAAAAGAAGATCAGGCCTGCTTGTGTTGTTTTATGATCGGACCATTGTCTTTAGTGATGTGTTTATTGTAATGATTGGATTACAACGGTAAGAGAGTGTACAGCTAGCCTGCTACTGTCAGCATTGTCATTTGTGCCGATAGTAGTAATATATGTTGAATCAGAATATAGCGTGCTCATCTTGGCAGCCATACAAAACAGATAGCCCTTTAATTATTTCGATTCGGCATTATTTATAACTGGTCCTCCGCAGAAGTACAAGGCACAGGTTTGTGCTTGACTACATAGTAACTCTATGACTAGTAGCAAAATAAAGGCTCAAGAATAAAAGGACAAGAAGCGATTCTGCAGTTTTATCTTAAAGAGCAACGTTACCAATGTCGTTACGTAGAAATAACCGCAAAAGGTCATCTACTACGTTCCATGGTAGTGATACTATGTCACGATCTCTTCTTCTACATAGTGGTAAATACTACACACATCATAATAATAGCACCAATCATCACACAATTCATTTTTTAACATATGTACACTGATAAGCAGACATGCTTTTCAACAGAATATGACAGTTGGACATTTGTTTTGTGACAGCTGCCATCATGCTGTATTAGCAGCAGCCAGCAGGCCTTCGTGACATTACATATCTGCTTATTTCCTAGACAGATTTCTACCAACGTGGAATGCGAAAGGGCTCAAATCATAGTGTGTGTAGTACATTGGCGGTCTAGCAAAACAAGTCGGTGGAATGTCAAATGGAAACGAATGGATGGATGCCACCACTGCTACTACGCCACGTAGAACAAAAAGCCGATGAGGCTGACCGCCCTTGCTACTGAACCAGCCCTACTTGTTGTTACTATTAATAACAACTCATTAAAAAAAGCATATTCGTTGGACATTTCTATTCCCTATTGTTTATCTACGAATAATAATAGTCTATACTAATAGCATTGACTACATATGCTGGCCTTGTGATGATCTGATCTGACGACTAACCCTTTCCTCTTTTTCAACTATTACTATCGAGTCTTTGCCCTGTCGCTTATTACTTCTTGCAGCTGTTTTTAGATTCCGTATGTTAAAATTGTAAGAAACAGGGTGCAACATACATCAGACTATTTCCACCTGAAAGACTATGGCTGTCAGCATATACTAATGTAAATTTCAAGTGTTGTGACATTGAATACACGAATAGGCACCCCACACTACCTCCTTCCCACCTCTATTGCTTCTGTGTGCATGGGAAGAGGAGCAGGAGCAAAAGCAGGATGACAGGCCCGCCCGGCAAAGGGAACCAACTGATATTTTTTTAGAATACTGGAAACTCCGCCAAACTCAGCGCAATGAAGCGAGCTCTCCTTCCTTTTCGTGTTCTTCTTCTGCCGAGTTCGCTCTTGTTCTTTTTTTTCTCTCATCATCTCCAACCAACCCCCATAAATCCGTTCATCTACTCTCTCTTTGGAACTTTTTCTTCTATTCAATACTCGAAATGGCTGACCATCACGAAGACGATTTTGCTCCTACCCAAACTGCTGGCTACAAGGTCGGTGAAAAGAAGACCATGGAGGAATATCAAAACCTGGACGCGCAGGACGAGTCCTTGAACAAGTGGAAGGAGTCTCTCGGTTTGAAGGGTGGTGGTAAGTAAAAGCCAACAAGCTTCCCTTGTATTTCTTGTTATAATATCAAACAAGATCCCCTTTTTTCTCGCTCTGCAGTCTTCGTTCTCGAGAGCTTAACCACTTGTCTAATCGAACGACTTGTTTACGTATAATAAGCCGCTGCTCCCAGTGACGATCCTCGCCGAGTAAGTAAAACCTCTTTCCAGTTGCTTTATTGTCACCCTACTGTCGTGATACATCTTTTCTATTAATGCCGAGAAATGGGGGAAAGGGGTGGGGGCGCGACTCGACCTGATTTTTGGAAAAGCGAAAAGAAGAATAAAGCTAATGTTTAATGTGTTATAAAACCCAAAACACAACAATGATTAGGTTGTTGTCGAATATATTGCCCTTGAAGTCGAGGGCCGTGAAGATGTCCGGGTCGACTTGTCCACGGCTGGTAAGGAGGGACAGATGGGGGTTGGGTGGAAGCGGTTAATTGGGAGAAACACATACACAGGGTTTCATGATTTGGTTACTGCGAACGAACCTGATCGCTAATTACGATATGCCTTTTTGTCCCTACAGAGGCTCTTGAAAAATCAAAGTCCACGCCTTTCACCATCAAGGAAGGTGTCGAGTACCGTATGAAGGTCAAGTTCCGGTAAGTCATCTCTCTTCCCTTTTCGCCCCCCCCCCTCCTGCTCTCCGCTTCTCCCCTTTGCTTTTTTCTTCCCCTTTACACATACATATTGATTGTCTTGGTTGTTACTCCGGTATACATAATGCACATAACACAGAGTTCAGCATGAAGTTGTCTCGGGTCTGAAGTATTTGCAAGTCGTCAAGCGCAAGGGTGTCCGAGGTAAAGAAAAAGGGAATCTGCTATGTGTACCCACCACTCTCTCCACACACACACAAGACACTGAAACCAACTTTATCTTTAAAACTAGTTGACAAGACCGAGGAAATGATCGGTAGTTACGGTCCTGCTGCCGAGGCCTATGAAAAGAAGTTCCAGCTCGAAGAAGCTCCTTCTGGTATGCTTGCCCGTGGCCACTATGAGGCTAAGGTAAGAAAACAGGGGAACGTTTAGCTCATTATGTGTATAACAGTTTGGCAGAATGCATTTTTTTCTAAACACACTTTATTTGTATAGAGCAAGTTCATTGACGATGACAACGCTACCCACATGGAGTGGAGCTGGTCCTTCGATATCAAGAAGGATTGGTAAACGGGCATAGTCTTCTCTCTCTCTCTCTCTCTTCCTTTTTTTATATCTCATTGCCCAACCCCCCTTTGTCATACCAATGTCTTTTACAACACACACGCACAGTCCCACACACATTCCTGCCTATTTCCTCTTTCTTGTTTGTACAAGTTTTTCCAAATCCCAAATAAAAAGTGATATCCTCTAACTAACCCGCACCTCGCCATTGAAAAGCTAATCTGGATCTGTCAATTCGATTGCTATTTGTAGGTGTGTGCGTGCGTGTGAATAATCTTTTCATATATTTTTTTTCTAATTATAAAAAAAAAAGCTTGAGAGAAAGAGTTGTGGAATGTACATGCGATGAAAAAAAAAGAGAGACTTATCTATATAGAAGAAAAGAAAAAAAAGAGGGGGTGGCTGTTCTCCAACGATAACAAACAACAACAACAACAGGTCTATATTGGACTTATTGTTCTTGTTGATGTTGTATAACTTTTTTTGTTGTAAATGATGGATTTTTTCTTTACTCCAATTGAACAGTGGCACCAAGAGCTTCAAGGGCCTTCTTCAACTTCTCGGCTTCTTCCTTGGGCACAGTTTCCTTCAGCACCTTTGGTACGCTCTCGACAAACTTCTTGGCATCTACCAAGCTTAAACCAGCCAAGTTCTTGACCTCACGGATCACCTTGGCCTTTGCACTTGCATCCACCTTTTCAATCTTGACATTGAACTCGGTCTTTTCAGCAGGCTTCTCCTCCTCAGCTGGTGCAGCAGCAGCACCACCAGCAGGCATACCACCCATAGGCATACCGACGGGCATGGCAATGTCTTGGATGTTTAAGCGCGTCTGAACAATATACATATAACATTTTGTATTTAGTTATCTCCAGATACACTTACAACATTCAAAGGAGACAGTGTATTCCTGTCATTTCCCCCCCCACCACCCGCCCGTTTTCCAATTACCTTCAACTGCGAGACCAATTCAGAAGTCTGCAACAAAGTCAGGGTCTCGATTTGATCGACAATGTTTGCGATTTTGGGGTCGACGGCGGCGGCAGAGCCAGGGGTGGGCAAAGGTTGTTCACCACCCTCGGTAGCATAGCAGCGTCGTGCAAAGGCAGTGGCACAAACACTAAAACATTAATTCATTAATATTGAAGAATGAGTCTTTTTTGCTACATTGTTGGGTAGTGCCGTTTTGTTGTTGTTGTTGTTGTATTCTAAATGAGAGCTGTCATACCGAGCGGTTTGGCGGGTGGTGGCGTGGGCAGTTGTGCGCGTCAACAAGGAGGAAGAAAACCGAAGCTAAAAAGAAAAATAACGTTGACATGGTTTTTTAGTTTGGCTTTACATGAAAACATTCTCGTTTTCCTCTCTCTGTGAAATGTATCCTCCCTGTCTCTTTTCTCGTACCATTTTGTTGTATAAAAAAATAAGTTGGAGTGGGTCAAAGAGGAAAGGGCGGAACTCGATTATTTTGGTGTTGTAAACAGCACCTTGACAGGAGAGAGGACCGTCACGCTAAATCAACAGCCACCAACATAACACACACCTTTTCCGGATTTGAGCGGGAAATTTTGTTGTCATGAGCACCACCCAAAATTTACCACCATGGTAAGTACGTTGCTATGCGCATTTGTTGCCATGGCAACTTTACCACAATTTATATACTTCTCACGCAAGCAGTCAATCCAGAGTGCTATAACCACTATCTACTTAAAAACGAAAGACTCATTTCAATCTAAAACAACGCGGAGAAGTTTGTGATATTTGTAATATTGTTATCGTGTGATATCCATGACAAAAGAACAACAGCAATGATAGTTAGGTTATATTTATGCTTCTTCGAGATAACGGTACTCGAATCTATTCGACCAAAGAAAAGTAACATACATAGTTTTTTTTAGCAAAAAAAAAACGCCTTTATAGATATGTGTCTCTTGATGTTATAAACCACACACAACAATAAACTCACCTAAACTCGGTCTTCTTGCGTTGACACCATGCTCCCTCGTAATCAAAGTAGATATAAGTTCCTTGCTCATAATCATCCGTGATTACCTTTGGTTCTTCATGTCGTTGGAACCAAGTGAGATACTTTTTGTGGAATCGCCATGATTGTTTTTTCAACTCTTTTGCTGCTAGATACCTAAAAAGATACAAATAGCCCCGAACCAATAAATAATTCATGATCGTCAAAGATGACAAAGAAGGTTACTTACTGTTGATAAGTGCCTTGCTGGTAGTAGAAAATGAAAAACAATGCATCCATATCGAATTTTTCGAATAATGCTGGATTGTCAAACATGGGTAATGGCTGTTGAGGATAATAGCTTGGGGTCGGATAGGGTGTTCTTGGCTGATATATTTTCGGTCGTTCAGAATCAATCAGATCAGGTACATGTTGTAAACTTGCGTCCAACATTTGATGGGTGTATAACATGTCGCCCTTATCCGTTCCTTTTTTTTTATTTTCAAGCAATATTCATGTCAGCATCCATGTCGACAAAAAAAATTGGAGTGCTCTTTCTCACCTTTCGCTTTGACCGCTTCAAAGGCTGGTGCCAGATCAGCAAGAGATGCCGGTAATCGCGAATCATTCATATCTGCTGAGACTTGTTGTTGTTGATTGGAAGCAGCACCAGGTGGTGACTAATGAAATAACCCAATCATTGAGTTATCTACAACTCTTGTTTGCCCCACCACCCTCCTCTTTTCAACTTTATATTTTTAGAGAAAATTCATACCGTCTTGCCAGGATACTGTGAAGCCAACAGCGATTGTGCACCGGGCACACTCTGCTGTTCCACTGGTGACTGTAACCGAGGATGTTGTTTTGTTGCATCAGAGGATGAAGTCCCGCTTTGTTTGGATTGATCAATGATTTTGGGAGGTTCAGCCCAGGCGTTCTCTATTGGTTTTTCATGTGCTGCTTGGGCAGCAACAACTTTAATAGGGAACCCTTTTTTTAATATACAAACCGTCCCTTATCCAATCATACCTTCGCTCTTCTTTGATGATAACGGATTTTCCTGTGATGATAAAGAAGTTGTAGCACCAGCAGCCGCTGCTTGTGCATATTTCAATCCTGAAGATAATGGTGCAGTACTGCTTTCGATAGATTTGCTGGTACTTGATGGCGTTTTTAGTGGGCTAGTTGAAGGTTTAGCTATATGTTTTGATATGCCGAAAAAGAAAAACAGTTAGTAAAATCTACCAGTATGTATCACACACTGCTCTCTCAATTCGTACCTTCTTCAACCGATGATGATGCAAGGGAAGAATCTTCTGTTGATGGTTATCAAGCACGATGAGTACACTAGCTTTATTTTTTGCTTGATAGCCTTCATAAACAAAACCACTTACTTGTTGCTTTTGGACTCTGTAGTTTATGTGCGCGTAATGATGAAGATGGAGAAAATGCCTAATGTGTATATAAAATATGCTTAGCATTTGGTATAAAACAAAGCAATGAAAAATGACTACTTTCAACTGTTTCTTACCTCTTCTTCTCTTTCCTTTTCTTTTTCCTTTTCTTCCTTCTTCTCCTTTTCTTTATTTGCTCGTCTAGATAAAGGCTTTTCTTCCTCCTTTTGTTCTAATGCTGCGTCCGCTTTTTTTTTAAAAAAAAACGAGAGGGAGAGAGAAGGGGGGGGAAGAGAAGAGTTAGTAAAAGATAATATTTATAAAAACATGAGTGAGCAACGAACACACCTTCATGTTGTGCAACATAATCGTCCATACCAATAGCATATTGTTCCTCTTCCTCTTCGAGATTCAAATCATCGTAGACAAATTCGTCTTCTTCAAAATCCGGTTCCTGAGAAAAGAAAAGAGCAGCATAACTGACGTGAGAGGATGCTTCTGCAGAAGATAGGGTGTGGATTATTTGGGAGGGTTTATATACCTGATTACATTCAATATAATACTGGATGTTGTCTTTGATAGCGATAACCTTTTTCAAAATGAAAAGGAAATCAATAGTTAATATGTGATAACCAGAGATGGGAGAGAGTCTATAACGCGTTTGTAAAAAACCTAGCCTCCCTTTCCTGGTCGATAGATTGTATATTACCTTATCTGTTGCAAGATGATCATTTTCTAGCAGTCGCAGAACCAATTCTAACCGATTGATATGCCACTTGTTCCGTTCAAAAAGATGTTCCAGTTCACCGATTCGTTCCTGCTTAGCATGATCTCTTTTGCCACGTTTTGTAGTGCCTTGCAACGTCTCGAGCTCTGCCTCTGCCGTTTCAATCTGCCTTGAAAGTTCATCGACCGTAGTAGTAATCCAATCGCACGTGTCTAGCTTTTCTTTTTCTCTTGGGTCCATCTTTTCCTTTTGTAAAAGACCTTCTTTGGAATAGGCTTTGGTTTTCATTTCTTTTTCAATTGCCTTGAATCGTTCCATTTGGGATTCAATCAGTTTTCGGTTGTCCAACAATGACCGTTTGTCTTTAATTTCATTCGACGAGAGCCATGTCTTGATTTGATCACGTAACCGTTGTAGCTTTTTAATCTCCTTTTTGAGGTCTTGTTCGTATTTCTCTTTTTGATTCGTATTGTTCGTTGACTGGATCTTGTCGAATATCGTCTCAAACGTTTCGACGCCTTCGCTCACTTTTTTCAGTACCCGGTCAATCTCGGCTATAGATAGATATTGGTGATTTCCATAGAGAGAGAGGTTACGAAGGATGAATTGGGAAGGAAGGAATATCAGTTTTTTTTTTTGAATTCAACGTTTTGAACAGCAACAGATTAAAAAAGCATAATATATCAACACTCGTCAATGTTGAAGATTCCTTCTTTTTGGAACGAAAGACGCGGTATATTGAACAAGATGTCGCAATAGGAGAGACAAATAAAAAAGTGTTGTTTCAACTCACTCTGCAACTTTTTCATTGACATTGCGAATTATTTCTTTTTTGTTTCCGAAAAAAAGAGAGGAGAAGAAGAAGGGAAAAGCTGGATTGGGAAAGCAGGGCCTATAGAAAACGCCTCTCTAAATTGTATAGGCTCACGTGACTACGTCAAGAACAATCACCATCATCCTTTATTTAGAACCATCTCGAACAAAAGACCACATGTTAGCATGTAATATATTACATGATTTATAAAACAACTATACACTTTATGACCTCTTAGGTTGATTATTAGATGATTTCTGTAGCTCAGTGCTTAGGAATTTCCTTTACTACTACTTGTGATGTATGTTTTGCATTAGTTATCGTCAGAAGAGATTGTGTCTCAAAATCGGATTATGCTGCTGTTAATCAAAAGTGAAGAATAGCCTACCGACACTTCAGTGGTATAACTCATTGCTTGAGCAATAAGCCTTGCTTTTGCTTGATTAAAGTGCTATATACAGAAAACGACTAGTAACAAAGAAAACAGTTTGACTTTTTAAGGACAATGCATACTTGTGCTTGTTGTTAGCCGATGATGGTTACAACAGGATGGGAAATTATAAGCGTCGTCAGCATCAAAGCTGCTGTTGTGGCCCATTACTGACAAATTGAGAACATTATTCTGAGTGCTCCCCCTCCCCTTGCTACTTCGGGAGCTCCTCGATGCTTTCGGGTTACTCCCAGAGTTACTACTACCCGACGATGTGCAACCATTGAACTACATCCTGGACCATCGATTACATACACTCGCAGCTTTTCTCAATCCTCACTTCTTTCCCATCACAGGGTTTTTCTCAGTTGGGGTATCACTCATTTGTACATGCATGCTCTCTCCCTGTAATTGTACCGTAAGGAAGAAGCGGCCAATACGCAAGATCACTAAGGCTTCCATAACACATTTGACTATATGCATTGTCAGATACTATTTATTCATTACAGCAACAGTGACTGGCGTGAAACACACTGTATCAATAAATATCCGGAAGTTATAATACATGCTATGTGCCTAATTTGCCACTCACTATTGGACAAGAATGGAAAACTTTCATGTGGAATATCTTAGAAATAAATGATGGTTTGAGAAGAAAAGACGACACGACGATTAATGCAGCAGTAGTTAAAGCATGACGAGGAAGTATACACAATTAATTTACGTATCTCATGGAAAATGTGTATTAGAATGGAGAGTTTATATGTATGAAACCAGAGAAAGAGAGAGAGAGAGATATCTTTGGAATTTTTACGTTTGAATCTAATTGATAAGCTCGGTTTCAAGAACGAATGTTCTAGTATGTTATTACTAACGACTATACTACCAGTATTCTGTTCCTGCTGCTAGCGCTCACGTGACCTGACTCATGACGTAGTAAACCGATTCGCCGCTATAAACTTTTTTTTCGACAGGTTTATTTCTCTCTTTCCCTTTTTCTCTGTTTTTTTTTCTTCCAAACTAAATTGGAGCTACCAATGAGCCAGGACAACAACCTTTCCCAGGCCACATCGAAGCTGTCGTTGAATCCACAGGCATCGGAATGGAAGCCTAGCTTTACAGCCAAGGAATTCGTTCCTGGAGGTTTCTCTGCTCCAGCACCCGTTGCTGCTCCTGCGCCTGCACCAGCCGCCGCCGCCGCCGCCACTACTCCTGCTCCAGGTAATAATACACTTTACTTTAAAAAAAATATAAAATCCTTGTCAACAAGGCCCTTTACCAAATTGTATATTTCATTGGAAAACTTGATATGCTCATCGTAATGTTGTTGCTGTCGCTTTTGCTTCAAAGCAGCCGCACCACGTGTTATGAAGCTTTCCACTGGATCTACTCCTGGTAGGACTAGTTTACATCATTGGATTTTATTTTTTTTTCTTCTATAGATCGATTTCCCCCTCTTTATTTTTTTGTTTTCTGTCTGATGTGACGGGGGACGTTTTCGCCGGACGCTTGACAAAATGAACAACGACGACGAAACCCCGTTTAAACAACCTTTGAATTAAAAAGATAGATTGACTAACATAACTTGCCCTTTCCCTCCTTCTCTCCAATATCGTTGAAAACAGCAAAGAAGGCCGAGCCCGAGACGAAGGCAGAGCAACCCGTCAAGAAGGAACAACCTGCTGCTCCTGCTCCTGCCAAGAAGGCCGCCGAACCTAAACCAAAAGCCGCTGCTTCCAAGGCAGCAAAGAAGGATGCTGCTCAAGCTGCTGAAAAGGCTGCTGAAAAGGCCGAGGCTGTCAACAACGATATCCAAGCCATTGATGATGAAATTGTTCAGGATTTGTACGGCAAGGAACATCTTAATATTGTTTTCATGGGTCACGTCGGTAGGTCTCATGCCACATTTATTTTTGTGAGAAATAGAGGAGGAGGAGGAGGGGAGAGTTAGTAGTAGTAGTAGTAAGTAGATCAAACGGTATCATAGTGGTGGGTTTGAATTAATTGATCTATATGTATATATATACTATCAGATGCCGGCAAGTCTACCATGGGTGGTAACATTTTGTACTTGACTGGTATGGTTGATAAGCGTACCATGGATAAGTACGAAAAAGAAGCCAAGGATGCTGGTCGTGAATCGTGGTACCTTTCCTGGGTGATGGATACCGGTAACGAAGAAAGAGCAAAGGTAATAGAGGGGGAATTCTTATGCTGCCAACATCAAATTGCGTGTGTATAATATATGGTGGATCTAAAACCAAATATCTCTGTGTCTTGATATTTACAACAGGGCAAAACCGTTGAATGTGGTCGCGCTTACTTTGAGACTGACAAGCGTCGTTACACTATCTTGGATGCTCCTGGTCACAAGAACTACGTGCCTAGCATGATTACGGGTGCCTCGCAAGCCGATGTGGGTGTCATGGTCATTTCTGCCCGTAAGGGTGAATTCGAAACTGGTTTTGAACGTGGAGGTCAAACGCGTGAGCATACCATGTTGGCAAAGACTTCTGGTATCAACAAGATGATCATTGCTGTTAACAAGATGGATGATCCTACTGTCGAGTGGGATAAGGAACGGTAAGAAACGCATTCTTAATTAGGCTATTTTAGTAGGGAGGTACATACTCTTCTTCCTAACTTTTCTTTTTCAAAATAGATATGACGAGATCTTGGGCAAGCTCACGCCCTTTTTGAAGCAAACTGGCTACAATCCCAAGACCGATGTCTACTTTATCCCATTAAGCGGCTACACTGGCGCTAACCTCAAGGATCGTTCCGACGCTTGCACCTGGTACAACGGCCCTTCGCTTCTTGAATACCTCGATGACATGAAGACATTGGACAGAAAGTTCAATGCTCCTCTCATGTTGCCTGTTGCTGAAAAGTACAAGGACATGGGTACCATCGTTGTTGGTAAGATCGAGTTTGGTCATATCAAGAAGAACCAGTCGATTATGCTCATGCCCAACAAGGTACCGTATTCTCCTGCTCAACAAGTGTCATTACTATGACTTGCAATAACTCATTCTTTGCTGATTCATACAGCATATCTGCGAAATCACCGCCATTTACAACGAGACTGAAGATGAAGTTGACCATGCTATTTGCGGTGATAACGTCCGTGTCCGTTTGAAGGGTGTTGAAGAAGATGTAAGTTTGAATGATCACACTTTGCTGTGTATATATATGTTATATACGGTACATATAAAGAAAGCAAAAACTAATCAGTCTTTAAACAACTGTTAGGATGTGATGCCTGGTTTCTTGCTCTGCGACAAGAAGAAGCCTGTCCAAACATCGACGGTCTACGAAGCGCAGCTTGCCATTCTCGACCACAAGAACATTATCTGTGCTGGCTACACTGCAGTGATGCACGTCCACTCTGCGGTCGAAGAAATTACGATCAGCTCCTTGCTTCACCTGCTCGACAAGAAGACCGGTAGAAGATCCAAGCGTCCTCCTCAGTTTGTCAAGCAGGGCCAAAAGGTGATTGCTCGCATTGAGACGGCGGGTCCCATCTGTATCGAGACGTTTGAAGACTATCCTCAGTTGGGTCGTTTCACGCTCCGTGACGAAGGCAAGACAGTTGCGATCGGTAGAATTACAAAGGTCTTGGATCCAACGGTCTGACGGGCCGCTCGAACCCCTGCTCACGCGCACACCACCACCAAGGAAAAAACGAGTAGCAGGAGTTCAGCAGGAAAGGAAGACGGGGGGTGTTCGTCCTCCTTCACATAAGGATTAGAAATAAAAATCACACTATAAAAATAGCCCCCCCCCCTCCTTATATTTTCTGAGGAATTTCCTCTCTCTTTTTTTCTTCTCTCTTCTTCTCTCTCTCTCTCATTCCCCATCTTCTTTCTCGTATAAAAAATCCCTTTCCTTTTCTTTCTTTATATTAAAAAAACACAATGAACTTGATTCTTTTTTAGTTGCTGAATCTTCTCCCCCACATGCTGTTGCAAAGAAAATAAGATCAATTTGTCAATAAAAAGTACCGATATTTATGACCCGGAACGTGCATGCTGTGCAAATGCACCCGATCGTTCAAATTTCCCTTTTCGGTGCAAAGTTGCCCTTTCCATTCTAGTTCCGCGCGCTTTACTTTCGATTTCTTTACCTTTACTGCTATTACTTACTACTACTACTACTACTATTGCCCTCACTCTCTCTCTCTCCAGAGTTGGGAAGAGTAAATTTACACACACATACGCACCTACTACCTACACACATAAGAAACGAAAACCTCATGTTGGCCGATGCTTACGGTAAGAAAACAACGTGTCCCTTTTATTTTCTTTCCTACAAGCTGACAAAAACGGTCGTTCGAATTAGATTTCCTCTTAAAATTACTTCTCGTTGGCGATTCCGGCACGGGCAAGTAAGTAGTTGGCTATTTGAATTCTTGTAGGCGAGAGTGTTGCTTAGTGTTGGATAGAGAGGAATAGAGAGAAAGCTTCCATATAGATAACTCACAAACCCCCCTTTTTATACTACACCACAAAAAAAAAGATCATGTTTATTACACCATTTCTTAGAGAATCAATGTACGTCGAAACTAATAGCCTCGCTGTTGTGTCGATAAGTGGGACGCGGTCGTTGTTACAAAATGGTTTAATGAACGCAAAACCGTGTATTCTAGTCAAGAAGGATTCCGTCAACACTATAGGAATGGAATTTGGAACGCGAATCATACATTTAGCAGACAAGTCAATCAAGTTACAAATATGGGACACAGCTGGTCAAGTACGTTTGATGAAAAGTGTGTGTTTGTGTGTGATTGATGGTCTCAAAGTTGTGTCTAATATATGCTTTGCTTTTGTTCTTTAAAATTTCTATCCAGGAACGGTTTCGGTAAAGACAGTTTTCTCGATTTCCCATCAATGTATAGAGAGGAAGCGAAGAAGACTCATCCACCTTTTGATGTGTGCGTGGCTTGGGAGGATATTTAGATCATTAACACGGAGCTATTTTCGAGGTGCTGCTGGTGCTTTAATTGTTTATGACATATGCAAGTAGGTATGGTGTTTTAGGTCAAGTGGAGAGAAAAAGGATGGGAGCGATCCGCGGTTTTATCTCATAATCTGCTATACAGTAGAGAGACGTTTTTGGGTGTCGATTCATGGCTAGCAGATGTTCGTTCGCATGCAAACCCGGAACTGGTGATTATATTAGTAGGGAACAAAAGCGATCGAGCAGATGAGCGAGAAGTATCTTATCTAGAAGCAAGTCGATATGCTCAAGACAATGGTAAATGTTGTTGTTGTTGTTATTTGGGTAACAAGTTAAAGGAGAGAGCGGGAATCCTTTTGCTAACTGAGGGGAGAGCGGTATGATTTTTCTTTTTGGTAGAGATGATGTTTTTAGAAGCCAGTGCACTTACTGGAGATGCCGTCGAAGAAATGTTTTTCAAATGCGCTCGATCGATTCTAAGCAAAATCGAAATAGGTAATAATACCTCAAGTAGCTATCTTCTCATAGTATTTGCTTGCGTGTTATGTATCTTCTGACATAGGTTGAGATATCTTCTTTAAGGGCAAATCGATCCAGAGCGTAGTGGGAGTGGTGTACAATTTGGCGATTCAAGTTTAAGACGCATGACACAACGAACACGGACGAGGAAAAAAGAACGCTCTTGTTGTTTTTAGTATATTGTATACACACAAACACACACACATGCATATTACAACTACCTACGACTATATTACCACCGTCATTATCACCACTACCACCACCACTTACCACCTGCTTATTACCTACAACAACGACAACCACCATCTTCAATACATACATACATATATATATATATGATAACAGGAAATGCAAGCAATATATTACATACCTTCTTTTTGTCTCTTTCTGTATATTTTATATGTTTATATGATATATCATATATATTTATATATATATTTACTTATATAATTAGTAGTAATGGATTTCGTTTACAAATTGTACTATCTCATACAAAAGGTAGACAACAAACACAGACATGTATTATCGTCGTCTGTCATTCACATGGGAAAAGAAGAAGAAAGAAGGGGAGGTACGAGGGCTAGTAAATGAGGGTGGTGCTATTGATTGGTAGTGAATGAAGAAAAAGAAGGAACAGGAGGAGGGGTTGGTACGAGGTGAAGGAAGATAGAGGAGTGCTTTTTTTTAGGTTGTCCTTGTCATTGTTCGTCATTCGTCGTGCTATATTCGCTGTGCATAAACCGTCAACTTGCCCAACTTGATAGCCGAAGCAAACGCCTCTTCCATATCTAATTCATCCTCTAATGGAAGACTATCCCCTGTTGCCTCATCCTTGTATCTCAAGGACACATCAAATCCAAGCCGGTCATGTACTTTGGCACACAATTGATCCAATGTAATGTCTGTCGGTACTTTGATGGCAAAAATATCGTCCTTGTGTACTATCTTGAGTTTGACTGTGCTTTTTGTAGCACTGGTACCAGCACCAGCACCAGCACTAGCAGATGTAGCAGAGACACCCATCCCGCTGTGTGTCGTTGTTGGTGTCATGGCAGGAGAGGTCGAGGCCATTGCTACCGGTACTGGTGTTGTTGTTGTTGTTTCTTCTCCTTCCACAGGTTGATTTGTTCCGGTTCGAGGATCACAGTCCGTTTCTATGTCACCTTCATGTATACCAAAGAGTTGACTCTGAACAATAGGGCTTTCAGCCAAGTATCGAGGCAAGCTTAGCAATTCGCGACAGTATTTGTCAAGGTCTCGCTGTCGTTCAGCTAGAAAAAGAGGTACATGGGTGATAAATACTACTAAGACTCTGAAACATGCGCACAAAAAAATGAACAATAGATGGGAAGAAGAGGGGAGCTAACTCCCCTCCTCCCTCTTTCCCAGGTTAAGGGGATGGGATGAGAGAGGAAGAGAGATTTTGTGAATTTCTTACCAGTAATTTCTTCATCCACATCAGTTAGAGGACCAGGCATGTATGGTAATATCCGTTCTCGATCAGCTTTTCCAGCTTCCAACGGATACTCCGAAAGAAGGCTGATCTGGAAATCGTAAAAATCTAGACCGAGCCAAAACGACAACGACGATAATAATAGTTTGTTTAACTAGGATCTTTTTTTCAAGACATTCTCTATTTCTCCCAAAGTCAGGTTCTTTTTATACCTTCATATAAGCGGTATAGTACCCGATGCCGTCCGTTCGTTAATCGTGCGTATACAATAAACCAGTATTGATCGCCTTCCAAGATGTATGAATCGATGTTGGCCGCCTCGACCATGGGACGGTCTGTACGTGTACTGCGACTTTCGCGTGGTGATGGTCCATTTGCATACGATGATGATAATCTATCAGTAGCTGGATCCAATGTAGATGCTTGCGCCAAATGTTGCATGCCATAACTATCCAAAATAGCATCCGCATCCGTTGTTGTTGCATTGTTGTTGTTATTGTGACCAGCATGATGATGATGATTATCGTATCCGTTCTGTTGTGATCTCACAAGTCGATCCGAAGTTGCAGAAGAGATGGATGAAGAAGGCGATTCGCTAAATCCGGACCGTAACATTTGTTGTTTTTCGATGGATCCCAAAGAAATGCTAGATGCTTCGTATCCTTGTGTCATTTTCTTCCATTCTTCCACGCGCGGTATCGGTGTTGATGTGTTATGCATCATGTCAGCGACATTGGTGATGGGTTTTCCTGTAACTGCGTCTCGTACTTCGACAAAGGATACCGGAATCAGGCCAGGTCCGCCTAGACGGCCAATGGGTTTTGCAACAAACCATTCTTGATTCGATTGGGCAATCACAATGATCGGTTCGCCCGCTTTTGCGTCCAATTCGTCGGATCGTTCTGCTTGAAAGTCATATAACACAACACCGTACAATGGTTGCATCTTTTTCGCGCCAGCTTCAGGATAGAAATGTTGGTGATATAAGTTAGTCAGGGAAGAAAAAAACACCCCATCATCACACACATGAATATTAAGATAATTAGATGCAATAAGCCGAAAACAACCGAGAAAATAAGGACATGGTAATAATATAATAAAACATACGTTGAATATTCACAGCTTCGTTAGCAAGTGGTGATTCATGGTCAATGAATCCCGAATCGGCTTTTTGTGGTTGCTGTGGTTGAGCGACTGTCAAATTCCGTTCGGATTTGTCCAAGACCTGAAAATAGCTGACAGGGACGATACCCTTTAAATTCGTTGCTGGATTGCATGCCTCAAACCACTGGTCGTCGTTTTCTCGAGCAGTAACGTGAAAAAAGTCGCCTTGTTTGAAAGAAAGCTCATGTGGACCCTGTGCCTGATAATCGTAGAGGGCCTTGATGATCTTTTTCGGTGCAGTTATGGAAGAATGGAAGGTCGTGGGGAAGCTGAGAGGGGTTGAAATCTTGTTTTTGACAAGGGAACGTCGAGCGGATCGTAAGTTGCGTGGAGGTTTGACTTTATCTTTTGAATGATGCAGCATTATGAAAAAGTGTAGGTTTCCTCTTCCCCAAAAGAAGAAAAGAAGATCCGAGAATGTAAAGGAAAGGGCCCTTCTTTGGCGGGTGTGTATGTGCTTGTTTCGGTCGGTGGAATGAAAAAGTAGTATGGAACAGAGAAAAGAGCAGCAGAGGAAAGAGGGAAAGCAGCCGCAAAAAAAATTAAAGAAAGAGCGTAAACCTTTTTTTTTTGTGGTGAGCTCGAGTTACGCAAAGGTTTAGAGTGTGGTAGGTCAAAGCTTGCCAAGCTAAAAAGTTATTAGTAGAAACACAAAGCGCATTTGCTCCTGAAGAAGTCTATAATTTGTCACGCATCGTGCATTGTCCGCTCTCTAATACGCGCTGATGCCAGACACACTATGCTTCTACTCACTCACTGACTCTCCCTTCGTGTGCCTTTGAGAGCTTCAATCAAACGTAGTAAGAGCAAAACGAGGCCCTTCTTCTTGACTTGAATCTGCGTGTGGTGGGTTACACAGAATTTTGGATGACCCAATCAAAGCAACCGCAAAGATGGTGAAACGAAGGGTTGTTTGATTCAAATCACCAACAATGCGATGGCGCCAAAGTCGTTTAATGAAAAAGAAGCTTTTCTTCAGATTTCGGAGAACACCACCACAAATGCACCTTCTTTTTTCGTCTCTTTTATATGCAAGCAACAACGACTGGCGGTTTGTTACTGCACCACACCACACAAACAAACATGTGTCTTTCACTATGGCATACATCGAAGCCGACTCGAATGCCTTGAACGATAAGTTTCATCAAAAGCAAGCACTTTGTCGTCCAGGCACGGGATTCTTCGGGATCCATGTTCATTAAATACACGAACAAGGGCAATTCATTACCGGATGCTTGGGTTAGCGTGCCAAAGGAAATCTCTTATTTTTTTGCGTTCAACATTTCAATCTCAACCGCAGCATTTCTCGCTTTCTCTTTCCTCTTCTTTACACAAAAATTCTTATCGACGCACACACAAGGTAAAAAGAGCAAAGAATAAAGAGTGAACTTGAGCTATTGTACCTATACTTCTTGGAACCGTTCGCCTTGATCCAATCTTTTCTTTTTTTTTCTGTTATATATCGCATACATCACTCCCTTATCTATGCATGCGTCGTATCATACAACCAACACTTTATCCTGTGGACATATGCTACCTCGCACACTCCCGACAAAACGCCTCCACCCTTATAATTTTGTTTTCTGTGATAACACACACTCTGTCTGTCTGTCTGTCTGTCTGTTTCTTTCTCTCTCTGGTATAAAAACAACCAATTTGTGTGCGTTGAAAATAGTCGAACACTCTCTCTCTCTCTCTTTTCCTCTTTTTTTTTTGAACTTGAAGAAGAAATATGCTGCGGATACCATCATCAGTCCCTGACGACGACGAAAGGAAACATGGCGATAACTACCATAGCAACAAGAACGATAACAACAACAATGTACTACCCAGTGCGACATTTGCATCGCAATCAGCAATTACCCACTCCCACGATGCACCCACTACCGGAACGACTCGACGTAATAGACCCCATCGCATGTCGCAAAGCAGTAGACAATTTGCTTCTACTTCTACTACCACTATTGCTGCTGCTGCTGCTGTTACACCAACACCAACAACAACATTCCCTTATACCGCCGTTGCTGCTAATGTGTCTGCAGCTAGTCTTCCACGCTCATACACCAAAGCAGACGGATTATACAGACTTGCCCGTTCACAAGATTCTCAAATTATGCATACCAACGTTGACCATCAATCGCTCATGGACGCTCTATTCTCTGATTCTGACGAAGCGTTAGAGAGAAGAAGCATAAGAAGAGCAAGAACGACAAGACCAGATTCGCAAGTGTCGTCGTCGTCGTCAACCTCGGATTCCTTTGGTAGAGGATCTATTGAATTGGCAATCAGCAGCAACAGCAACAGTAGTAGCGACGAAGGGCGACAACAACGAGCATTAGTAGCAGACGACGATATTGTTGCACATGCTGGGTCAGAGACATTGATGGATCTCTTTGGCGCACAAAAGGACCTTGAACAGCAAATGCATGCTATAGAACAACAAGAAAAGGATGCTTATGCTGCTGTTGCTGCTGCTGCTGCTGCAACAAGAACGGAAAGGGAAGACTTGTTGGATGTTGATGAAATGGAAAAAGAAGAGGAAGAACACGGGGAGAAAACAACAACACATGAACAAGAATTCGAAATGCCAAGCTTCATACGAGTACTGTATATGGGTGCGGCATCAGAAAAGGACAAGCGCAATTTCATGAAAAAGCTGTCTCAAGCATTTGCTACATTATTTCATTATGATTCACCATCCTGGCTGCAAAATCCCAAGATGTTCAAGGAAAGGAAGCACCATTTGTTGCTGATGGATCTTGTGCCTCCTGATCAAGGTGGAGAGGATCAATATGACAATATCATTGAGACGTGTGAAGATAACGGCTTGTCCATCATTGAAGCAGATTTCACCTGGTCTTCATTATCGTCGTCGTCGTCGTCGTCGTCCAACGAAAAGACAACAGCAGAAGACAAGAACAACCTTACTTTTATGATCGAGCAATACGTTTGGCTACAGTGCGATTCTGCAAGACAATATCCAAGCGATTGGCAGCAACAGCAGCAACAACAAGTTCCTGTCTATGCTCGCCAGAAGTTTGATGGATTTGTTTACCCGGATAAAGCACCCAATGGAATTGATCTTTGCGTATATTTCTACGATAACAACTATGACGAACATAATGTCAAGGACCGGTTAAGAACCGACGAGGACATGGTCATCTTGTGGCGACTTAAAAAGTTGGGCATTCCCATCATGCCCATTCTATCAAGTGGAAACACTGCTACCACTACTACTACTACTACGACAAGACCTCGATCTCAACACCATCATCATTATCAATACCCAAGATCTACTGTCTCTTCTTCTTCTAGTGCCTCCAATCCACCACCTCTTCCTGCTTCTAGTGTTATTAATACTGGCGCCGCTGTCAACACCATTCCAACCATTGACGAACGACGTACACAATTTGCGGACTTGCTTGCTCAATACAAGATCAGATGCGTCGATATCTCATTGTCCAAACTTGACGTGGGCCTTGCACCATCATTTCAAAAAAATGCGAAAAAGAAAGGTTATCGCAGCAGCACCAGCAGCACCGCCACCACAACAACGACGACGACAACGGCAATGATGATGAGCAGCACTAACAACGATAGTAGTCGTTGCACCAATCATAGCAGCGCAATTCCGAGTGGGCTCGTACAACGATTAGGAAAAGACTGGGCAGCATCAAGCATGACGACGCCTGCACCTTATCAAATCCTCACGATTGATCAATTCGCTGCATTGGACCGCCAGACCGTCTTTAGCATACTCAGGCAATCACGTCAAAAGGCGCTCAAGCGGGAAAAAGTGCTCGATGTCATACGTACCAAAGAACAGTATAATATCGACAACAAAAGCAACAACAACAAAAATAATAATTATAATGTCGCTACTACTACTGCTGCTGCTGCTACTGCTGCTACGTCGGATGTTTATTGGATGGGTACAGCGAACAGCAACAAGAATACCTTATACCCGAACGCAATGATACAACCCCGTCTGTTCGCTCGTCTGGTTTTCGTGTTGATATTGATTGGCATAATACTCTTATACTGTTATGGATCTTCACAACAGCAAAGACAAGCCATTGTTCCAACAGCAAACAAGTCATTGAATTTGACGGCAGTCATTGGCATGTCAACAAGTCAAACGGATACACAATTTCTATCGTTTACTGTCAAACTTGGTGATGATGTTGATAACGCGGAACAACAACAACAACAACAACAACGAGAACCAGCCGAAGAAGAAGAGAACAGCAGTCGCTACTATTATCAATGTGTGATGCCATTACCACCTAGTACCTCTCTGTCTCGTTATCAGCATCATCAAGTAACGCCCTTGGCAAAACTGGATATTCAATTTCCATACCCGGTCAACTTTACCCATTTTGATTTCAAATGCCCGTTGATGAACCTTTCTGGATGGCAGGACTCTTTGGAAGAAAGTGAAGAAGAAAAACTCGATAGCAAATCTCCTCTTCCTGCTTCTGCTTCCAACAACAACAACAAAGCAAGTAGTAGTAGCAGCAGCAATCGAGAACGTAACAACAACTCAAGCCCACCGCCATTGTCACCAAAGGTCCGAGGTTATTGGGAACGATTATACCACACTACTAATTATTTATTTGATCACCAGTCAAAGATATTGAAATTAATGTTCAAAGGCAAATAAAAAGAACAAAAAAGAATCCAAAGTTAGTTTCTTTAGATAGGTATATAGCTTTTTCCTTGTATTTACATTAAGGAAGGAAACAATCCTTCTTGTAAAATATCAAAACTATCATAATAGTAGCAGTAGTTATTGTACTTTAGTTTATTCTTTCTTATTGTAACAAATTAAAATAAACGACGTATGATACATATATACATAGAGCAGTGCTTAATTTGATACGACAGAGGGACTGAGTATGTAAGTGGAAAGTGTGTTATAGTTCTCATCTGAAGAAGCTACACGGGGAGCGCTGAAAGAATATATACCTTTTCAAATTTAGCAGTTAAAGATTTTGCCTATTCCCCCGGTGGTCGTCAACCCTCGATATGGTCGACACTTTTGCTGGTGCCCTGAGGGTTGACGTTAACGGGGGTCGACTGTAATGCAGAGCTTGCTCTGGCCGCATGCTTTTGAATCATACCAATTGTAGCCTACATAGCCTATTCGAGGGTATCTTTAATGCCAAACATGAAAGACCGGGATTTTAATAATTTATACGTGATACTTTGCTACTGCAGTAGGTACCATTACAATATCTTACTGCTCCTGTAAGTTGTTAAATGAGTTTTCTTTACCGTCGTCTGCTCTATTGAATTATACTTTGGAACTACCCGAGATGGGTATCCCGATTTTCATTTCTCGCGTGGTTTTTCTTACATTTATTGTATAAGTAAATAACTGAGGAAGATTATTAAATACATAGAGTATGGGGGAGAGTTAAATGCCAACATCACTATTACATGCATACGATTATCGTTACTAATATTGTAGTTATACAACGCTAGTACTGTTATGGCTCACGTTGGCAGTATATCCTGTGTCGGCTGCGCTTGGGCCATAATTCGTAGGTGAGCCATAAGGCTGATCATTGGCTGCGGCCCATTGAGCGGCTCGGCCTCCGGATGATCCTCCTCCGCCATCCATGGAATCGTCAAGTGCTTGGCGCTTCATATTACTAGGCGCCTCGATGCCTGGGATGAATTGTAGTATAACGTACGCTACACCGAACACGGCCACCTATGCATGATTCACGCTCTCAATTTAATCCACCTGCCCCTTCTTTATCATGATCTCTTTGGCAATCTCTTCCTCCTCTCTTGCTCTGTTCCTGCCTGTCTATCAATGTTTTACTCAACACCACTTACAATGACGCCAGATGCGATTGCCAATGGTAGGTAGTTTAGAATAATACATCCAATGCTAAGGAAAACAAGTTGTAACAGTTAAATTCTTATAGCTCTTTGTAAGCATTATCGTGCCAAGCTTGTCACTTACAATATGTAGACTATGGGTACGCCGCAATGAATAAAAATTATCGCCGCCACCATGTTAGTTTAATATACATACAAACAAAAGATGCCCACGTATACTTCTTTATGCATAATGCTCCCCAGGGTGATACGTACAGATTCCGCGGCCGATAAAAGAAAAGAGGAAGGAAGCGTGCTGCGTGATGATGGATGGTAATCGAAATTCAAACAAAAACACAACGACGCCAAACACAATACAGTAAATGCCTCGAATGAATTGCGGGAAACCTAAAGTTGTTCACCATCCATCATTGTTTGTTAAGAGTCCGTAACTTTGCAAGTCCCACAATCCAAGATAGAACCTGTCGTTGCCACTTTACCTCCTGTGATGATCGTACAGACACCCCCGATAATCTATCGTTTGGCGATGTATAGGAAAAGAGAGAGCAATTATAATTGTAAGCAGTCTTGCCCATTACTATGTATCGCGGCTGTCGAGTCTTGGCGGTGAGCATCTTTTCTCGGCGTGGGTAGGGTAGCCTTACCATAAAGCACGCTACAATGATATTGATGATGCGAAAAACCAGGCTATGGTTCACGTTTCTTATACTATCCATTACTCGGTCCATGGTCGAAGAGAAAAAAAAAGGTTTTTAAAGTAATGAAAGGTTGGGGAAGAAGAGGGAAACAGAAGCCGGCAGATGCACCCATTTTGTTTCGAGAGCGTCTTATTGTTCCGCGGGAATTTTTTTGTTCGGGTTCAACTTCCTTGATCGAAACTCACATGACCTCAAACATGTGCTTTTTTTTTCTGTATCATCATCTTGCTGCGTACAAGAACTACAATAATCCTTGCTGTTTCACATAGAATTGCATGCATTTATGCACTCTAACGCTGCGCAATATCCCAGCAATGATGTATATCGCATATATGTAATGGATGTGTCAAATGTTATAGTACAATCAAGTATTAATAAAAAGGAAATTACAAGAAAAGTAGAGGAGACGATCCCCCTTTAGCGCATGGTCACCAACTCCTCGGCAGCGGTAGGATGGATAGCTACGCAGTTATCGAAATCGGCCTTGGTGGCTCCCATGCGAACAGCAACGCCGAAGCCTTGAAGGATTTCATCACTTTCACGGCCAAACAGATGCACACCAACAACCTTCTCCTCAGGGCCCGTCACCACAAGCTTGTAAGCAGTGGGCTCCTTGTGATCCAGCATGGAAAAGTACATGTTGACGAACTTGGAGGTGTAAGTCTTGACATTGGCATCGCCAAACTTGGCACGGGCTTCGTCTTCGGTCAAACCAATGGTACCGGCAGTAGGATGCGAGAACACAACGGTAGGAATGTTGTCGTAATCAATCTTTGCGTTCTTGAATTGCTCGCCGCCAAAGAGACGGTCCGAAAGACGACGACCAGCAGCAATGGCAACTAATTATTCTTATGTAAGCATCACGTAGTATTCATAGAGATGAAACACCACTCTCTTAAAAACCAACGTCCCATGCTTTATATTACACCACTATACGAAATTAGACATACCAGGCGTCAATTCAAAGTTACCACAGGCATCACCCAATGCAAGCACATTAGCGGTCGAGGTGTTCTGGTATTCATCAACAACGATATAACCCTTCTCGTCGGTCTTGACGTCAGCAGCATCCAAGTTGAGCTTCTTTACGTTGGGTGCACGGCCGATAGCCCAGAGGACGCAATCGACTTCCACGGAACTCGACTCACCAGCCGATTCGTAATCGACACGGATACCGCTGTCAGAGCGCGACAAGGACTTGACCTGCGACTCGTAAGCAAACTTGACACCGGTCGCTTCCATCTCCTTCAACACGTTGTCGCGAATAATGCTGTCAAAGTGTCGCAGAATGTGCTTGGTGCGCGAGAATACGGTGGTCTCTGAGCCCAAAGCATTAAAAATACCAGCAATCTCGATACCAATGTAACCAGTGCCAATTACAGCCACACGCTTGGGCTGCGTTTCCAAATCAAAGAAGCCATCCGAATCAATGCCGAGTTCAGCACCGGGAATGTTGGGAATAATAGGGTGGCCACCTATACACACATCCCGACTTGTTGGTCAATAACCCCCTCCTTTTCCAATACTTTTACACGCTCCATGAAATATGGTATCTTTTCAGTTTTGCAACATACCAGTGGCAATTAGAATATTTTTTGCTTGCACTTCGTACGACTCGGTCTCGGAGTGCTGAACACGAACGGTGTTGGGTCCAACAAAGCTAGCAAAACCTTGCAAATGCTCGACATTATCGTTGCCCAAGTTACGTTCGTAAATTCCGTTCAAACGCTTCACATAAGCATCGCGCTTAGCCTTCAAAGCGCCCCAGTTGAATGCTGGCATGGCCTTCAATTCGAAACCGTAACTAGGAGCATCGCGCAAAGTCTCGGCCACCGCAGCTTTATTCCCGAGTTTGACACTGGTTAGCTTATCACTTCCACCTTGTACCATCTCCCCCTACTCCCATGCCCGGCGTCATTCAAAATCCTAGTTTTATTATTCGCTTACCTGTATTCCACATGACTTTCTTAGGTACGCAGCCGACATTGACACAAGTACCACCGAGACGATGTTGTGCTTCTATAAGGGCCACGCTAGCCTTGTGGATACCGCTGGCTCGGCGAGCAGAGGCCAAACCCCCAGAGCCGCCACCAATCACAAGGTAATCGTAGATTTGCTTTGTAGGCTTCGGGACCGGAACCATTTCAATGTTCTATAATATGAAATAAACAGGAACAAAAAGAAAGAGTTTCTGGTGTATATTTTTATATTTTTGAACCGGAGCTGTCTCTACACTGCGGGATTAGTAATACATGGCTGAACTGTCGTGCTTTTACTTCCTGAGCATTTGCAAAGCATGACTAATTGAGCATAGATACGTCACCTCACAGATCGAGAAAAAAAAGATTAATCGATCAATGACTCTCATGCAACAGTTGAACTTTGCCGAGATACGGTTCTTACATAATTCAGCATCCAATTGATAGCTTTGTCAATGCGTTGTTTGCGTGCGCAGCAATTTAGGAAATGAAAAACACGGCTTTGGTACCTATGAAATTTTATTGGTCCAATCGTGGTTAATCTCCAACTCATCTCTCGACGGTTTTCTATCTTGGAAGAGACAAAAGGATGTTTCTGACCAACAGATTTCAATTAAACGCTTGCGTTATTTGAGTATTATGAAGCTTTAAACAAGCATTTCTTTGAGCATACCATAGACACTTTCTTCTGCTGTTAAGCAATGATGTTTCACAAGCTTACGTAGATCATCGTCAACCAGCAAAACTCTGTATGTTGCGCATTCATGTATATAAAAGGTCTTCTCACACAAGATTTATTTGTGGACCAAACGGCTTGATGCTTCTGGGAATAATATAATATTCAAGAGACTAAAAACCACATCCGACAGTAACAAGAATTGATGCTCGCTTGTAACTATTGTAAGTAGTTATAAAAAGGCTGCTTTATAAGTTTATTCTAATTGATTACATACTGTATGGTAGCATGCATAAAAAAGTGCTGGGAAACAATACATACATAGTAACAGAACCTTGTCATTGCCCAGGCATAACACTAACGTGAAACTATATACACGCTATCTTGCTATATATACTGAAACGCTGTAACTCTGGTTACGTCTCTAAGTCAACGCCGCGATTGTGCTGAACGTATATACTAATTCTTCACGGAAAAAAGATTTCGACATACTGACGCTCTTATTAAGGAGTATCGTACTCGGTCACATATAGAGGGTGATAGACCCTTGGAAAGGGTTGATATTTTTACCATGATCTATGCCGGTTTTTTACATAGCTTGTTGAGGATACATTATAAGAAGGTATACGATTGTGAAGTGTAAGCGGAAGTAGTAAAAGGAAGCCATGGCTGACGGACAATGAGATGGAATTTTGCCAACGACTTTCATTCTTTTGCGTTAGCAATCCACCAGGAGGACAAAGTATTGGAGAGTTTCAGACTGTATGATTCTTAATAAAATATATACAACGCGAACTATAGTGATCATCATTTCTATAGCGATCTTAAAGAAGCTCAGAAAAACCTGCCGAGGATTGAATGTATGAGACACAAGCATACAGCATAGAGCATAAAAATATAAGCTTCTTATATCCATCCTTTACATGGGCAATGGCAGCAAGAGAAAATGGGCAAACAGAATTTTCAAAAATGAGTGATGGCCAATTAAAATCCGTACACTCACTCGTCTACATCACGAGCATATGTAGGCTGACATTCTAAATGTGTACCTTAAATCAAAATGTTTTAGAAAGCTTTTGTTGATACATGTTCACCTTTTCTAGATATCAGGAGCAAGTCCAGCGGACCAGCTAAACCACTTATTCTACCATTTCTAGCAGAGAAAAAAGGCGTTTAAAATTCATTTGACAGGGTATGATAAACTCGCGATCTTTTTGCTCTCTCTGCCAACTCATTGAAGATGGGCTACTCCAACACCAACACTCTCTCGTTTCCCTTGTTTCCTTCCTCATCTGAAGATTCTTTTTCTTCCTCCACTTCTTCGGCAGGTTCCGCCCCAACCGCAATCCCAGGGCTTGTTTGGCAGCCCTAATTAGCGATTACCTGAAAACGTGAACTTGTCAATAAAAAAAACAATTTAGCCTTGTTTGTCAAACAGGACAAAATGCAATCTTGACTGGTATGACAGCCGTGTTGTCAAGTTGTTATTCTATATCAATAGAACTGCTCATCACTATTGCCTAAAGCGTCGTCTCTGTTCTGCTACAGTATCAGCATCAGTTTAACCCAACAGACCAGAAAAGAAATGGATGTATATATCATGTGATAGGGCACTGCTAGTAGGGTGCACGAAAGCAAATTTACTTTTTGAGAGCACTTTAATAGCCCTTCATACATTACATTTAACAAGCTTTTCACTAATAGCAAAAGAATGTACACCCAGGAGTAATGCTATGTTGTTGTATCATGCGATCGCTTACACAGTCACTCCTTTACTATGAATTTCTATCATATTGCAGAGAGAAGTAGTATATTTTGGTTGTTTCTTATGCAATAGAGACGATGTATGCCGCCGAGATTTTTTGACGATTCGGCATAAGGGTAGATAAAATTAGCGTTACAAGCCAAGAAGAACAAGGCGAAATGCGATTTTGTCAGTACAGGTAAAAGTAACGATATTTTGAGGGTCCAAATCATAGTTATTTGGGCTGGTTGCCAATCAAGCCCTGACGTCTTTGTAACATGGCTTACCTCAATTTGAATCAGTCGAAATGTTGCAGCCGGAAAATAAATAAAGTCAGACGCGCATAGCTGCCCCTCGTCACCCACAATTCTTTAATCGTTTGGCAGGTTAGAGTTGGTAAAAGTACCATATGGAACATAGCTTAGATTTTCTTAAACAGCTGTTTCTGTTAATATCTTAGCAAATTGAAGCGTACAGCAGCAAGGCCTGCACAAATTGCGGGACCATTAACAAACAGTAAGGAGAAATAAAATAGTCCTGTAATTTCGCAACAAGTCGAAGCATACTCGGCCATTGTTTCTCTCAAGGAACAATAAACTTTGTCTAATCGACCAACACTTTATACGGTCTTTTTACGACGTGCTGCTCTCAGTAGTAGGACGTTTTCGTTGCTAAGCGAATCTACTCGATCGAGAATACTCTCTTTCGGGATACGTTGTCGCTATCTCTGGGGTATCTTGCGCTATCCGATGATCGTCCTTAACCTGAAGGACCCCCCTATCCCCGTGTCCGCTATGCCGCCTGTAACGCCAATTAGCCAGATGTCGTCCAATTTCGCTGACTATCTGCGAAAAAAACTGTCACCAGCCCATTGTCCTGCTGCTCGAATACAGTTTGATATTGTTAAACGGCTACCTTATCTTGATGTCTTAGGTGGTGTAATAACGTTGCTCACCAAACTAATAATACTGTCAGGTAGCTTACTAGGAAATTCTGCGTTTCCATTCATTTGGTGGTGACATCCATACCATGCAAATGTAACACAGCACAATTGTAGCTCCTTCCTAATTTCGCAACTCATAAACCAGCCGCAGTGCATGTAATATGCATCCGTGAATGGCTATGAAGGAATATATACTAGATATGCATTACGATATCATGATGCACCATGTAGCTAGGCTTCTCTTTGTTAGATACGCATAGCACAGAGACGGTATCTATGGTAACGAACATTGTCATGACGACTGGATCAAGGTTTTGGCATCAAATGGCAAAGACAAGAAAGACATAGTGGCTCTAAGAAATAGCCACCTTCAGCGTAGTGCAGCCATCAACATCCCTAGCCAACAATGATCGTTATTTAGGCCTAAGGCACGGACAAGTAGGTATCTTTATCAAAGCTATTGATTCTGCACGCACTCACGAGCGGGTCTCCAGCAAAAGGATTTGAGTAGTAAAAGTAGCACAGCAAGTCAAAATGCTATTGCAACAGACACAGTCTGACACAAAGCCAATCAGACGCTGTGTTACTTCCTCGGCGTCTGTACGCGTGATGTGAATGATACTTGTGAAAACCAAAAAAAAACAGGATGTTGGCTCGTAGCCTCCGAGCAATTTTTTTCCTTTCGATTATTTTTGCGAACAGAATTACGCGCGAACACAGAAATTAAAACAAAGGAAGGTGAAAAACGCGTTCCAAAGTGTGATAAAGCGCGTTGTGATCGTGCTACTGTCGGCTACGTTATAAAAGATCTGCCATTGTTTCCTGCGTTGTTAGCACGGACCTGTGGATGGGGGTGCGGGTATTATTACCTAATTTAGTTTTTTGTTCTTTAATGGGTCCCAACCCTATTCTGAGTCTAATTTTGGACTTTTTATTATTCAACGACAAAGAAAAAAAAAATAAACTGATCTAATCCAGCTTTACAGGAGCATAGACTTACTGTCCTCTAGTATTTACGAAAAATATTTGAAGTCTCGATATTATTTTTTTGGTTATTTAATACCCATTTTAACTTTCCTTGATTATGAAGAAGTTCTTTAAGTCCAATTTTGGACTATTATAAATTGTATATTAGTTGGTTTAAAATACAGGCTAATTGCCACTTGCTACATATCCAAGATGTACTGCTCGAGCTTATATAAACTATATGTATAACAGGTTGCTATATGTTACAAATGACGAGATATTAACGTTTTGCAAACACCATGTAAAAAATTCATTGATTTTTTTTTCTGTATGCCCGACCATACGTAATTTACTATATACGCTGTCAGTTCCACAAATACATCTCAAAGAAGATCGTATTGAGCAGCCATTATAGGTACAAAGCCTTTTTAAGCGATCGGTTCCAGCACCTTCTTTGGTTAAACCAATTGTTTTGCTTTATGCTTAAGTCCTGTTTGCCGTACAACGTTTGTTATGTCTTGAAGGCTCCGAACTACATCGTCGTCAGTTTTCATTCCGAAAGATTGTGCATGTTGCAATAGTGTCTGTGCAAGACAAGTCCGAAAACTGGTATGTAGTGTATTTTTTGTGTCATTTGCGAAATATTTGAATGCTGAATACGCGTTAGCCTCGGCTATAGCCAGAAAAAAAGCTAAGCATCGCATCTCCCAACGGTACGTCTTCATTACATCATGGAACGAGACTAAATAATTCCTCCGGTAATTAGCAATATCGACTGCACCTAATACAAGGGCTTTAAATAAGTAGACTCGTCATTCTTTACGAATTTCTCTACTCTATATATTCATACGCACCCTTGTGTGCTTCATATTCATCAGATACTTTAGGACGACGCATCGTTTCAACGGTACCAGTGTCCTTT